CACTCCGGCGGGGTGGAGCTCCTGACAATTGTTGCGCAATTACACAGAAGACCTATGGGCACGCAACTTTTGGACGGTTTTGCGGAGAGCAGTGCGGACTTTGTCCCGGCTCAGAACTTCAGACGAGAGTCAAATCCAATCCAAGTCCAGGCAGACGTTTAAACTCAAATCACGCCTCACAGAAATGCAGCAGTAACAAAAGCTGCTAATGTTGCTGATGTTCTTCATGTTGCACCGTAAAAAATAAAGGTAATAATTAATAAAGAGAATGCAGGTTCAGTCTTATAATACTCAGTTTTGGGTAAACCGCTTTGAACATTAGGTATCTTCAAACAATAAAAATCTTTAAAATATTAAAATCTAATTTAGTTTAATGTAGCACAATAATACATACTTGCAAATATTTTAAACTTTAAAACGTTGAAGAATAATTATTCTAATTATGGTCTTAAGCTTGTTCCACTTTATACACAATTCATGAAAAGAATTACAATCATAAGATTGTATTATTCAAATATTCTTAGTCAAATAAAAAATGTAAATTTTATTATTTTTTCTATATAGGTAACTTTAAGAGGCAAGAAATCGGAAGTTAGAACAAGCATTTATTAAAAATTTATAAATTTGTCTAATTTTTTATGTATTTTTTAATGTGTTTGCTTTTATATTTATATTTATTAAAAATTTATAAATTTGTCTAATTTGTTATATATTTTTTAATGTGTTTGCTATTGCTCCCTGTCAAGATGTTGCTATTGCTACCGCCGCTGATGTTGCTGGTGTTGCAGTTGATGTTGCTGTTGCTGTTGTTGCTGCTGCTGCTTCTGTTGCTGGTGCCGCTGTCCTCGGGTTCGTCCTCAATCACGCCATCGCCATGCACATGAACTACATTCAGTCGGTCTTTGTCTTGGATCCGCTTAGCCCGCACTTGCCCCCGAATCGAATCGGAGTCCTCGGAGTCCCTGTTTGGATGTTTCTGTTTCTGCAAAATCAATGTTGACGCAAATACGTGTATGTAGAATCATTTTGCCGACAGTTCAGACTTATTTCTTTCGCTACCGAATTTAATTGGATTTTCTCCCTGACTTAAGGGCTTTAACTGCTGTGGTATGTGGAAATCATTTCTGGCCCCAGTCGCAGACACGCAATGCGATGCCCCCGCCCCCCATTTCCCCCGCTTCTTTTCAGCTGGCCAACTGCAAATTTACTCTTGTCGATGATGCAGCAGGAGTCGCCAGTGCGACTCTCCCCGCTTCTTATAGTCACCCGATCCGATCCGGGGCGCAGTAAAAACTCACTTAATTTAGCAACTGCGAAAAGTTAATCATTACATTCCGCCGGCCGAGTGGTGCGTGCTCGCCGTGATATCGGAGCACATGAGTCAACCGAAGCAACCAACCGCGCGCCAGTTTTGGTATCTAAATTTGAGTGACATACCCAAGAAGTGGATTAAGCTTGAGGGATTATTTGAGGGATACTGTCTGAAGTATAAGCTAACAAATAAATGTATAATAATCAATTGGTTATTAAGAAAACTTTCAAGAATTTTCTACTTTTGTATTTCTTGATTATCTAATGAAATGAAAAATTATATCGTTATTTGAAATAATTTGTTTATAAAAAAAATATACAAAATTTTATACATTTTTAAATTCATTAAATTTTCTGGTGGAATTTATGGTAAGAAACTTTTACTCCATTGAAACACATTTAGATATTGTTGTGTGTTTGTTAAGTAATTTAATTTTTATATATTGATATGTTCTTTTGGTAAAAATTTTTGTAACAAAAGCTTAATAAATATTCAAGCTTAAAAACGGTAAGAACCTTTTTTTTACAAACAACCGTAGAATGTCAGAGTTAATGTTATTTTCAAATCAATTTCGCGCTTACATCAACTTTTGAGAAGAATCAGGAAGTCTTTGCAATTTGAACTACAATGGAGTACGTAGATTTGTTCGCTTTCGCATTAGTCAGCAAAATTTGAGGAACATTTGTATGCAAATGGGGAAAAGCAACTGGAGCCAGACAAAAAGCGACACTTTAATCATTCTGGGCAAGCGCTAAACATTTCCGACCAACAAAAACAGAAACTTGAGCATATTTCCGTTGGTTTTGGTCTCCAGAAAGAAAGAAGGTCTTGCACTTAGAAAAATGTATTAAAAAAACTATACATGCTTAAAGAGAACTTGCTTCTAAAAAAGATAATTAAATGGTTTTTCATGGGAAGGGCAATCTTATTTCAATAAAATAATGTTTATTCTTATGTTGGGGTTAATTGTGTTCTTAACTTTTAAATTTTAACTGTAAATACGATATTATATTATATAATAGTACAATTTATTATAAATGGACAAAGATTAATGATATTTTTTTGATGATTGTCGGGTATTTGGATTTATTCAAACAGTAAAGACTTTCCCCCTGTGTAAAAGTCCCTCTGGCGAAAGTTGACCGCTGGTTTTTCCGCAGAAGGAAGCTAGCTGTGCCTAAAAGTTATTTTCTATTTGTTTGTTAACATTACGAAATTCCTATTCTCTGTTGGGCCGGTGGAGAGTTCTAGCCCGGGGTTTTTTCACGGTTCACCAAGTTGGCGGCCCACACCCTTTTCCCTCTGCTCCCCAAAAAGTATGAGCCCCTTCCCGCGGTGGAAATCAGCATATGCATATGCCTACATGTGGGTAAACACCACCGCGTCGCTAACCACGGGCACAAAAACTCCGCCCGGCCTGAGCACTTCTTGTCTACATTGTTTGGAATATTTTCAGCTGGACAACGGACAACGGACAACGAACGACGGACAGGCGAGCAAACAAAAACAGGAAGCGTGGCTACCACAAATATGCACGGCACACAGGGCTTGGCTGTAAGTTCGGAAAGTTTGGGCCGGGATGTAGATACTAGATCGCTATCTGGCTGGAACCTGGCCACTTTGCTACCAAAATAATGGCGGCCGGCAGGCGTTAGCCAAGGCGGCCATAATTAATGCGCCCATCCCCGAAAAACTTGCACGAAACGCAATTAGAAGCAGGCACACAGTCAAACGTCCCTAACTCAAAAAAGCATATGTTCTTTTTTTTATTTCAATAAAATTTAAGTAAGGGAAAGAAATATTTGCATCTCAAAAGTCCACCAAATTTCCTATCAAAGAAAATTTGAAAGTTCCATAGTAGTTCCATAGTTCCATAGTTAAAAATAGTACCTTTAAGGTCTCAAGATATAAGCTTTTATTCACAATTTCTGCTCTAATAGAATTCCAAATAAACAAATTTGTTAATATCTTAGAATAACAAACTGCGAACTAGAGTGCCTATTTTACTATTACATAATTGTAGGTACATTTGAAATTAAGATAAATACAATGATGGATCTAATGTGTGTTAACTAAAGTTTCAATTCAAGAATTTGGCCTGTAGCAGTGGGCATAATTTGTGTTGCTTTTGGAGAGCTTATTTACTCCCCTTCGGGCGGTTCGTAAGATACAGTGATAAATGTTTAATTAGCCGCGTTATTAATCTAATCAATCATGCGGTCCGAAATCAATCAGGCGAGGGGAAGGCAGAAGTTAGGCATTGCGAGTTAGTTCTACTTAATATCCGAGTGGGGCCCCAGTAAAATACCCACCCCTTCCCACTTCTGAATCTTTGGCTTTCTTTGAGTTTTCTTAGACTTTTCTCATTGGGTGTCTCACCTACTTGGTATCCACCGGAGAGCAAGTGGGACAACTATAGAATTCAGTGCGCAAGTGCGAGCCTGCTCTTCAGACACGCCTCTCACTCGCTCTCACTCAAAAAGGCAGCTGGTTTGAGTTTGGCTCAAATTATGTAAGGTGATCCGAGCTCAACGCGCTTGTATTACCCCGCTCTTTTACTCACCCCTCTCTTTTTTCCCCCTTTGCATTCTGTCTCTCGCGACATATAAATATTTTTTAGTGGAAGCAACTTTTGCTTAGTCTCCCATCAACATAAATAAATAAATTTGCCTGTTTGGAAAAGTTCTGCTTGCGTGTATTGGCATTTAGAATGGCAAAAGTTGTGCCTTTCAATCTGCGGATTCATTGTTATTTTGCGTTGGCAAATTATAGGCCATTAAAATTGATTATTTTTCATTATCAGTGTGGGAGGTTGGACGCTTGCCGCCTGTTTGTCACACCCCTTGAACTTAAAAAGAGAGGAGTTGCAGTCAGAACACCTGCGGCTGTGCAAAATAATTTAAAGTTGGTGCCAAAACACACACACTTGCATCAAATTGGCGGCCATTATTACATGGCTCCTGATTTCTGTAATTCAGCCAACCAGCGTGAAAGTGGGAGTGAGAGGGGAACAGTGGGCGAAATAAATCAATTATACGACCCATCTTCACTTCATGCCGCTCCTGTCACTCCACTGCAACTGCACTGCATCCCTCTCGCTCTTTCTCCTTTCCTGCGCAAGTTTTTCATTCCTTTCACTCTCTTGAGTGGCTGTCGCTAATCAGTTACGTCGCTGCTTACCACCCCCTTACCGCCTTACCAAGGTAACAACCAAGGTAACCACCGCGGTGGTTGGCCAAAACGAGTGGAGTTGCGTCCAACGCGGATTCATTGGTTTCTCGTCCGGCCGAGTCACTAATGTCCGTCGATGTCTCGTGTAATGCGTTTTTTGCGAGTCCCCATCTTTCGGAAAGAGTTGGAGATACGGGGAGTTATGGAATAAAAACTGGAGCACGCAAAAAAATCAGGAATCCTTAAGTATCTTATAAAATTATATTTACAAAATTTTAGTTTGAATATAAAAATTGAGTTAAAAATTATTATTATTTTGACATAATAATTCTTTGGCAAACTTATACTTAACACTGTATTAAATCAACAATAAATGTTAAGCATTTTTGAACGCCTAAAACAGATTTAGCAATTGAAAAATAAATTAAAATTCCGGAAAGCCCCAAACACTTAAAGAAATGCAGTTTGTGAAATAAATGATTTTATTCAAAATTTAAACACACTTACAAAATAAGTATTGTTTTATTCAATTTCACTTTTATTTTTGTCTTGTTTTCAAGCACCATTTTTTGTGGCAATGCTTTATTTATTTGATTACCGCCCCCTTATTGTTGTACCTATCATTATTTCCCCTAACGTTTTATTTCCAGTGTTTCATTTTGTGATCGATGATTGACAGCCATTTCTTGGTGTCGGCATTTCCATAAAAAACTTTTCCAACTCGCAAACAGCGCGTATTACCAAACAAAATCGGTCGTCAATTAAAAGCCTGAAAGCAACTGGTAGCGCAGGTCTGGCCAGAAAGTTTGATAAACAATGCACTGAAATCGAATGCCCGAGTAATTAATTATTGAACTTTTACAACTGTTTCGGTTTTGGTTTGGGTTTCGTTGGCTTTACATATTTTTTTTTTTCGTTTTTTTTTTTTTTTTCCTTTTCGCTTTTGCCTCTCATTTCCACAGCGAAGCGCTCAATGGGGCGACGCTCAAACGGACACACTCACAAAAAAGAAAAAAAAAGAAAAAAACGGGAGGGAAGAAAAAAAACCCCTGAATGCTCAGTGGCAAACCGACCACAACCACAGGCAAACCAGAATGCAGCAGCAACCCGATCCGAGTTTTAGCCAAGTAAGATATTGCGCTGCCGGTGGCTCTGAGCTCAGTCTCATTCAGCGAGTCGGCGGGCGTTGAGTTTGAGTGCGAAGTGCGGTGCGCGTCGAGTCAGCGAGCGTTGAGCAGCAGCAACAACACGACGGCAACAGCAGTAACAGCAACAGCAACAGCAGCAACATCAGCCAACAGCAGCAACACCATCGACAGCAGCAACACCAACGGCAGCAACACAAGCGAGCGGTTCCGGTTCGCGTTTTCGAGTGGCGTCCCTCAAAAAAAAAAACACACACATTTATCCCTCAAAAAACCGTCGGAAAAACAGGGCCAATAAAATGCCGCCTGTTCACTAAATACCCAATTATTTAATCGATCCTTTCGGCTAATCTTCAAAATTGGAAGCGTGGCATGGCAACCACCACATCCCCCGGCCCCACAAGGACAACCAACAAAGTTTCCATACCAGGAGCAGCATCTGGGATTTCCGGGAGCAGCGAATCCCCCGGAGCAATCATGCCCATGGCCGCCGTGCCACTGCCGTCGCATCTGCAACTTCTGGGCAGCTCCGCCGGAGGCGTTGGCCAGCCGTCGGCAATCACGCCCGTTTCGCCCACGGCAGCGCCCACAGGTGAGTGCTCGATAGTAAGCAAATCGCTTTTAAATTGGCCAACACATTTCCATAGGTATTGGGAAAGCATTTAATACAATTTAAATTCAATAAAATGCTTCTTTATTTTTTTTAAATTTAATTACCTATGCTTTAAACACCACCTTTGTTTTAACTGAAATAGGATTTTTTGTTATGAGGTTGACTATGGTATATGGTATAATTGATATTGAATAATTCTGTCCTTAAAGCGGAATTTTAATATAGGTAGCCCTTCAAATTGCCTACTTTATGGTTTTGTTTAAATGCCTTAGTAATCAAAGCTTAGTAGATTGTTTATTTATTTTATTTATAAAACTTCAAGTTTATTCTTTATAAAACTTCAACAAATTAAATTACAGAGAATATAGGTAGTATTTATTTATGTAAAGAAAAAAGTTGCCTTATTGAACGTTTTTAAAAATGTATAACATTTTTATAAATAATCAAAATAATTGAATTTTAGTATTTCACTTACATTTCATACATCATTTCACATTACTTACTAATATTTCTTGTACACAAGAGAATATTTTCCATGGAAATACATGAAGTGTTTTTTCCAGAATACTTGATTTCGTCTTTTTTTTTTTGTTAATTTTCTTACTCGCTTACTTGCTTAGTTATGTTTGTAAAGCTACTAGTGTTGCTGCAGCATTCGCCTGTTTCTCCGGTGATTTTACAACTAATCTTGCTTCTACAAACCAGCGATTTTTCTGCGGTATCTGCTGATATCGCCTCTTAAGTTGCTGTTGCTGTTGCTGCTGCTGCTGCCGTTGCCGTTGTGGTGTTGCCAGTGGTGCACACTCCATGTGAGCCGCAAGATTCGGGCGAATTCCGTGAACTGACAGGGATATCGGAATCGGGGGCCCGAAACAGTTTAAAACAAAAGCCAGCCACAAGAAACTGGTGGCACTAGTCAAATGCCTGCTGGAGAAGTGCAATGATTTGGAAATTTCACAACAGCAACAGCAACGCAGCGGCAGCAGCAACAGCAGCGCAACAGCAACAGCAACAGCAGCAACTCTCCTGCAGCAGCAACACACAACTGTGGCAACTGTTTTGGTCTTTCGCACATCAGTGGCAATTTGTTTTGCACAAGTATGGGCTGTCAAATAAAATTAGTTCACGTCGGCGGCCATCGAATGTATCTGCAAGATACACACACCGAGAGTCCCGGATGGGAATGGAGGGGACTTTGCGGCATTTGGGGCGGGAAAAAGGGGGGCGAGAAAAGCTTTGACTTGTCTCTAGAAGGTGTTGGAAGTTGCACAATAAATAAATAATTATAAAAAGAGCCCCGGTCGAGAGGTAGAGAGCGAGACACGTTGAAAAAGAGACACGGAGACCCCAAAGTGCTGGTAAACGGGGGGTTAAAGGGGGAGGGTTTTGAGGGGGAGGGGGTGGAAGGGGTTAAGGGGGGTAACCAAGGAGGTAACATACATGGCATACATTGAAGTTTAAGCATAGGGCAGAAACCATACTTAGGGGTCTCAGGTTACGTGGTGCGTGTATTCGCATTATTCTTAGAAAGCCAAGCGTATAAAAGGTGTGCACAATGATTTTGAAGAGTGCCTCGGGTTCGGTTTGCTATGGTTTGGTTTGGTTTGCCATGGTTTGGTATGGTTTTTTGCCTTTGGTTCGAAAAATGCACATGTAGCTCCTTACGTTGCTCTGCCTTGCGTTACGTATATGAATATGTGTGTCACCCCAGTTGGTTAGGTGGTGCCACCACCTAAGGAACCGGGGTTATCATTTCACGACTCTTTGGCTCTTTTTTTTTTTAACCAAGTGTCTGTAAAAGGAATCAGTGATATAAGTACCGGGCAAAGTGTGTCACCTTCTGTGAATAATAACTTAATATTTCAATAACCACCTAGATAATCACTGACTCATTTAATAAGGCATTATTACACATTATAATTTTATTTGGAATTTGTTTAAAATGTTGTAATATTATTCCTAGCATAGGCATTGCCATTCTTAGGAGTAGAATCCCAAAAAAAATTAATTACTGGGTACAAATTATCTTAACCCAATTAAAAGATAAGAACTGGAAGCAGTTCGATTTGTATTCTATCAACTATATATTATATTTAAAACTTTTGAAAAAAGTTACATACTTAAAAAGTTAATTCAAATCAAATGAAATTAAGCATTTCAAGTTCAAGATGTTTTATTTAAACTTCCGCTGGTTAGCCACTATTTGCCATAGTAAACTTAATTCCACAACCTCACCATAAAGTCTAATAAAGAATGGCATAAAATTAGAGTGACTTATGTAAGAGTAGATGTCCCCTGAGCGGAATTCTCGCAGCTTAGGAAAATGTGCGAAGATCGCAGTAATGCGCACTGGCAGTAAAAACCAGAAGCTTTGGAGGACGAGTAATGCGCTGCGCGCGACAAACAAGATCAGCGAGCACTAACTGAAGGGGGAATGGGGATGAGGTTGAGGTTGGGGATATAGTTGCGGATGGATATGGATGGCCATCGGGATGGGGATGCGTTGAGGAGCCACATAAAAAGCGAGCAACTTTAATTTATATGCAGTGGTTGGGAAAGGGGGAAAAAAGGGGGTAAAGGGGAGGTGCAGCGGCAAAAAGTTACCGGTAGCAATAAATCAAACTATCAATTGAATTCCGAGGCGATCATCACTTGTGGCGAGCTGCGATCCCGAGCTCGAGCTTCAGTTCGACTCCGATCGGCATCGCCTCTTGTTATAAGTCTCACGGTGACGTGCGTTGTGGCTACAGATAGAAAAAAAATTCTAATCAGAAATAATTATTCTTGAAAAATATTCTACCATGCTTAATTTTTGTGGGTCAAAATAAATCAAGAAACAAATGTTGTATATAGTTATATCAAATGAGATCAATTCAATTAATTTAACATAAGCTCTATATTGTTAAAACATTTTCAATATTCAATTAAATATTGGACATTTTTGGGAATGGGAAAATTGTTTGTTAAGGCAGGTCAAATTTAAAAAGATACAAATAATTTAACTAGTTTAACTTATTTATTGTTTTAATAAGAAATCATTTAAAAATGAATAATGAAGTATGGAATTTCCTTTAAATGTTATTTTTTCCCTCGTAACTAAAATGCAAAATAATTTATACCTGAAGCCAGCTATATCAGCTACTATTTCTCTCAGTGCTGAGGGGGCAAAGGGGCATGCTCAGGGGCTTCGGTTTTGGGCCTTGGCTCGGGCGATTTTAAGCCGCTTTTGCAATTGACTGAGGCGCATCGCAGGGCAGTCGGAGCTGTCGCATTGCGTAGTAAATCATCGGTCGATTCCGCACCGACTTTGCCATAGAATCTGGACTGGGAATATGGCACTGTGACTGTAACTCCAGGATTGGGGAACTGAGACCGAGACCGAGACCGAGACTGGGGCAATCCGGAGGCAGTGAGTGCTGTTGACATCCAAGTTGGCCGGCTGTTGCGGCGGCATAAATCAAGCATGGCCATAACCGCGGCCACAACAATTGGCGCAACATGCGATTGCAGCAAATTGCAGCGGCCACTTTTAAATGGAGTAAGCCTCGTGTACCCATCTGCATGGAGTTTAATTAGCCAAGGAGTTGGAGAATGGAGGAGATCCCCATTCCATATCCCGATCTTCGATCTCAGTGCATACTGGCAAAACCGACTGGCATGCCGTCGCCACACACGGAGCTCGATCGCACCAAAAAAGAGGTGTTAAAATGTGTGCAGTTCTCGCGATCAGATAAAATGTCAAAATGAACATAAAAGCTTCTACATTCGAGGAATGGCCAATTGCTGCCGCCACTCTTGACAAGCGATCTTCCAACCAACTTCAGCTTCATCTCCAACTCCAACTTCAAGTCCAATTCCGATTCTGATTCCGATCCAGAGATCCCAGCTTCAACAAATTGCCGGCGAGAATTTCATAAATTCCGACTGGAATCAGCAGTCAGTGTCAGCGGTAATGGACCACACCGCGTCCATTATGCCCATAAACGTTGACACTTCCGCCACTGAACGGAGCTCTTCTCCTTGGTCGCCTGGTTAACTTGGCTCTGACTTTGACATCGTCGATCAAAAACACACCGAAATTTGTCCAGCCTTCGAGGAGTTGTCCCAGTTCCCCTCCCGAAATCCTCGATCTGCCATTTGATGATCGGGCTACAAATTTCTTGGTGTTTCTGTGTCACGCGCGGAATGCCGGCAACAGCTTCGTTTAAATTCCAATTGACATTTAATGATTTTGTGCCTGTGCACTCGGAAAAAAGCATGGAATTTGCTGCTCCTTCAATTTTAGTTGATATAAATTTCATAGGTATATTCAGCGAATACTTCGAGCTTATAAGAATTGTTCATGTTAGTTGAATTGCATAGCAGATAGTATAATAGTTGTGTTTTAATTGGTTAAGTTGAATTAAAGGTTTATGTAACTTTTTTTAAAATGATTTTATAATGGTTTCCTTTACTTTACTTTACAATTCTAACATTGTAGTTTGATCTCTGAAATATTATCCATTATTGATCATATACTATTAGATGCATGCATTTAAATTTTTACATGTTAATAAAATCGAATTAAATGCTTAAACTTATTTTACCCGTTTAATTTCAGAGAGAAGATCTCCAGTCTATTTGTATTTAATCCTAATCACCCAATTATTTGTGTTCATTTGAATAACATTTAAATTAAAAGCACCTCTTATTTAAATGCTTTAAGTGGTAATTGATTGCTTAAGTTTTCTACCCATTAAAAACTGGTTCTCCAATTTCCAAGTTCCTAACTGATCGTAATATTTTCAGTGCACTAATACGTTTTACCCTCCCATTTCAGTTCTCGCCCAGCCGCACAGCTTGAGCCCCGCCACGCCCCTTTTGGCCCAGGGAACGCCTCCCGCTCCGACGTTGGGCGGCCTCTTCTGCGGAGGAAGTGCAGCAGCTGGACCGCCGGGATCTGCGGGGGCGGCAGCAGCGGCGGCGGCAACGAACCTCAACGCTTTGGCCTCCCAACATCGACTATTGGAATTATCCCGCTTTGGACTGAGGGGATATGATTTGGCTCAACATATGCTCTCCCAACAGGGAGCTGTGTCCAAGTTGCTGGGTGAGTTAACAAGGTTAAATCGGGAGAAGTGATAAGGGGAGGGGAGGGGTGAAGAGGGGGGAGGGGGTAGGGGTATAACCGACGTGGTCTAGACCACCCTGACCAATGCAATCAGCGGCATAACGCGGAACCACAAAACACGCGCCCCAAATGCAATCGCCAAGTGTCCCCAAGCGTTCCAATCGATTTGCACGGCTCCGTTTGTGGGGTCACGTAAACACGACAAATCGATTGGCAATTGGCAATCGCCATTGCCTCCGCCTGACCACCTGGACCCCCCTTATCCTCACCTGGACTCCTTCTTCCCCCTTTGCCCCCCTTTTCCCCGCAGAGGAAGTCTGCAGCAGCCGCACACCTGTTGCCACCTGTGGGTACGAACACCCAGCCGTGTCATTCTCGATTTGCAACCGACTGCGCCTAAATGGCTAATTTGAACTGCAAGCTTACGACTTGAGCAGGAAGTACAGAATTTCGAGCATTTATAGGTTGCCAAAAGTAGTAACAAAAAATTAATTTAATACCAAAAATGTGGAAATTCTTAGTAAAAAAAAATAAAATCCATTAAAAATATTTGTTTAATATGAGCGTATTAATTTTAAAAATTATATTAATGTAAAGTTAATTAAAAGGAACAACTCTTAAAATTAAATAAAGTTTTATTTTATTTAGAAAATATTTCTGGCATTAAAAGCGTTAACAAAATGATAGATCCTTTATACAATCTTATATAACCAAAATTTGTTTTGTTTTTGTTTAGAAAATATTTATTAAATTTTTAGTATTAGTATTAGCACCATTAAATTTTCTACAACTAGAGTTAATTACATTTTAACCATAACAAAAAACCCCGCGCGACACATAAAATAGTATTAAAATGTCACTTATGACAAATTTACTTTTTGATAGAATAAATACCAAAATCAAATTAAATTTTATGGGATTTCATTCATTACTTTATTAACAAAACATGCATATTATAGCAGCTAAATACCATTTTATCAGCAGGTAGTTCAGTGTGCCAGGAAAAGATACGCTAAATAAATCTGCCCATTCACAAATATTCATTAGCGTAACTTCAAATCGCGCCATCCGATCTGTGTGGATGCCATTCATTCCCATTCAAGTCAATTTAAATTGTGTAAATAATTTCCGTTTTGCACAAAAAGCTAGAAAACAAAGTGTACAAGTACATTTGTGCCCATTCAGTAATTTAAGGCAACCAACTGCACCGAAAATAAAACCTCACTAGATGTGTAATAAATCCTAAATAAATTAGTTTGTTAATTAATAGATAATAGTTTTTGCCACTCGAAATGGATGTTAATGTGAGCCAGCTAATCTGGGCATTTGAAACGATATCTTTGGGATTTTTTCCGCGTGTAATTCAGTGACAGCATTCAATTTACAAGATAAACGCGCGCGCCTGTCAACTGCTTCCGACGAATTATCATTTGAGCCGACTTTGTGACTTTGTGGCTCTGTCGGTGACTCCAGTGACTGCGACTTGGAGTCTGAGGCCGCTGATGTTGTCAAATATTCAAATTAGCGCTACGCTGAATGGACGCCGGCTGCTGGCTTAATTGTCTAGTTAGTTAGTGGCTCGGAGCAGGCAGTCAACAGGTAGCAGGTATCTGCTATTTGGTATCTGGAAGCCGTATTGCCTGCCACACAATGCACTGCGCCCAGAGGGCTTTTGACCCGTTCGAAAAACGCCCACACGAACACACAGCCACCAGCCAGCTTTGAACAATGTGAAAATTATGCGAGTCGCACAATACTCTGGCCCAAGGCACCTGGCCGGCAGTTCGGGAAAAAAGTTGAAAAAAACCAAATTGATTGCACAACTGGGATGGGGTTTACCTGCCTAGATTTGAACAGCCCGACACGCCCTCAGCCGAAAAGACTTTCGGGCTCCCAATTACTAATTTATTTAATTAACCACATTATTCACAAAAAACAGGGGTTACATTCCCTCTTAAATCACAAAGGTCTAATAGGGTTTCATAAATCACTGACTTATTAGTTTATATACTTCTGAGCTTTTAAAACAATAAAGATCATTATCAATTTAGAAAATATTTTAGGTATTAAAAACCCAGATAGGCTTTTATATGGGGTATAACTTTGTAAGCCTAAATCTAAATCTAAGCCTAATGATTGTAAATCCATTAAAAATATTTTTGAGTGATACCAAACTAAATTTAATAATGCTCAAAATAATTACAAGATCTTGAAGTACAATCTTCTTTATAGTTTACGGAATTTTTTAATACTTAGTAGTAGTACCTAGATATACTATTACTATATTCTTTAAATCTGGTATTCATTCAATATCAAAACTTGATTAAAAGTACTTGAAATAAAATAAATAAATAATTAATAAATAAATAAAAATAAAATACTTCTTTGGATAATCGGGGAATAATTAATATTTACCAACACATTTGATTGATATTTTATTACCTATTCATTACTCCTGTGTTTAATCCTTTATTTATTTATTTTTTTTATTGCAGGCACATTGCGACCACCTGGGCTAATTGGCGGCTCCAAGCCGAAGGTGGCCACCCCAACTGTGGTCTCCAAGATCGAGCAGTACAAGCGCGAGAATCCGACGATCTTCGCGTGGGAAATCCGCGAGCGACTGATCACCGAAGGTAGGCGAACAATGAGTCCACTCTTCAGATGCCGATCAATGGATGCAGGATCAATGGGGTATAGGGAGTAGGGAGTATTGAGGATGGAATAGGGAGAGACAATGCGAGGAGTAGCTGGGCTAATTAACTGACAGGGAACCCCCGAAAGCGAAATTGGCCAACAAATGACAACGGTCGCGACAAGCGTCTGGTTTTTTGTTCAGCAAAATGCTTACGCGCTTCTTCAGGCTCTTCAAAATCTTCTGGTTCCCGAGTTCCTCCTCCAGCTCTCCAACTTGTTTACCTCGAGGATTGACAGGAGGAACTGGAAGAGGAGCAGCAGCCATCAGCATTGGGGCATCGGGAATGGGATTGATGTGTTTATGGTGCTCGTAATGCGAATGCCCGCCGAGGGCTCATTTAATGTTGTAAGAATCGGTTGGATATAGAGGATATATATTGTTCCAGCAGCGCGGCAGATTTAGATTTATCGATTGGCTAATTTATGAACATCCGCTGCGAAAGTCCGATTGATATGTAAATGTGCTCACATTTGTGTCACTCATTTCGTGCTCCCTCCTCCGAAAGAAGTTGCGAGATAATCGCGAACTCGGATTGGGAGGCAGTAAGTAGTCCAGTCGGCAGTCGGCAGCAACCAGTTGATGGTTTCTGCCTGCCACATGACAGTTGCCCGTGGGCAGTTGAAATGGTCAGTGGATGTGGTTGTGGATTGGATGGTGGTTAGTGGATGTGGACTGGGGACTGGGGACAGTGGTCAGTTTGAATCGGCCGGTGCAATGAATCGTTCCGATAGCCATCGCTCGCATGAGACGCACGAACACACACACGGCGAGATCCAATCGCTCCTCTCATTACAGTCAATCTCCAGCTCATTTCGGGGTCACCAGCAGGTCATGATGTGATGCTCAGCATCCGGTGAATGAACAATGAAAGTCAGGGGTATCCAAATCAGAGCTTTTTTAAAACAAATCAAATTTAAAGAACAGAAAAGACTAACTTGTCTCCTAATAAATATGTATTTTATTCATAGAGTTGAGTGGTGTTATTAAGACTTAAGAACTTTAAGATTAATTGAATCGAATAATGCATATCACAAGCTTTGGTTTAAAGAAGTTAATTAATTGATAACATTATGTTTCGTTAAATTAATAGTGTGTGGGTTATTTCAAAAAGTAGCTCAAGGAAAAAAAAATTACAAATTGTTACTGAAAGAAAAATAATATTTCTCGAAAGGTATAGCTAATATCGTTCATTTTCGGCTTTAAAAATTCTAGGTCTCCTTTAGTTAATGATATGTCTTGTTAGATTGTTACTGAAAATTAAATAATATTTTTGGAAAGGTATAGCTTATATCGGTCTAACTAGGCTTTAAAAATTCTTCTTCTCCTTTAGTTATTGATATATCTTTAACCCTTCACCTGACACTAATCGCTCCACTTCCTAGGTGTTTGCACCAATGCCACCGCTCCGTCGGTGAGCAGCATCAACCGAATCTTGCGCAATCGAGCCGCGGAAAGGGCAGCGGCGGAGTTCGCCCGGGCGGCGAGTTACGGGTACGCCATCCATCCCACGCATCCGCATCCGTACACCAGCTTTCCCACTTGGCCAGCCCATCATCCGCTGTGGGGAGCCGTTCCAATTCCCGCCGGCGGAAGTGGATCCCTGCAGCCGAGCGGAAGTGGCAGCAGCTACGGCAGTGATGGCAACATGAGCTCAAATCCCCACAGCAGCAACAGCAACACCACCCACAGCAACACCAATGGCAACAGCAACAACAATAACAACAACACTAATAGTGGCAGTGCTTGTGGAGAAAGCAGTGCGGGGAGTGGGCGTCTCTCCCTGCCGGCACTTTCACCAGATTCGGGGAGTCGGGATAGCCGCTCCCCGGACGCGGATGCCAACCGGATGATAGGTGAGTCCAGTAACCTTTGCTTACCTTCTTTTGGAAATATCTGCAAAGAAAATAGTGTTCTAAGAAGAAGTCCCTTCAAAAAACTTAGATAATTAGCATTTTGTTAAACACCATGAAATTGTATTCTATTAATTTTATAGCAACAACAAAACATTGAAAATTCTTTTAAAATATTATGAAAATTTTCTTAACTCATAAATACAGTTTTGCTAGAGAAAAGTAATACATTTGGAAAATATTTTTCTTTTTAATTTTAAAAGCTTTCTGATGCTGTTCACTAATTTGGAAATCTTAACGTTGTTTATATGAAAAAAAATATTTAATGTTTCTTAAAACTTCTTAAAGTTATCATGGGAAATAAAGAACTTTCTTTAAAACTGACCCAAACAAAAAATGTTATTGGTCATTAATAAATAAGCCATTAAAACAGAAGATCATGAGTAAAAACCAGTGTAAAAATATTTGTCACTTCCAAATTCCAAATAATATCAATAAACGAAATTACTTTTAGGGCGGTTGTGTATTTAAATGTTACAATTAGATGTCAAAATGTTTTTAAATTTCATATAATTTGTAATCAAGGTATTGTTTATGTTTTATATTCGTTTATATGTGCTGCACTATTATTTCAGACATCGAGGGCGAGGACAGCGATTCGCAGGACAGCGACCAGCCGAAGTTCCGGCGGAACCGGACCACCTTCAGTCCGGAGCAGCTGGACGAGCTGGAGAAGGAGTTCGACAAGTCGCACTACCCGTGCGTGAACACCCGCGAGAAACTGGCTGGCCGAACGGCCTTGAGCGAGGCGCGAGTTCAGGTGAGTGGATGCCACACCCCATATATGTTTTTGGTACCCAAAACTCCCGATTCGAAGACACCGACCAAACACCAACCACAACCTACTAACCAGATGAACACACACACCGATCCCACGGCTCTCTTTTTTTATCGACTAACAAATTGTCTCTTCACCGATTGATCAACCAGGTTTGGTTTTCCAACAGACGAGCGAAATGGCGGCGCCACCAGCGGGTCAACTTGCTCAAGCGTCGCGACTCGCCCTCGACATCGAGGTCACCCACGCCGGTGGCTCCAGTTGGGGAAACCCCTGGCCACCAGAAGCCACCACCATTAGTCTACAACCACAACAACAGCAGCAGCAGCGGCAACACCACATGCAACAACAACAGCAACACCTGCAACAACAGCAACAACAATTGCAACAGCAACATCAACAACAGCAACAGCAACACCATCAGCAGGAGCAGCAACACGAACCACGTGGAAGAGCCACCAGCGGTGGTGGCAACTGTCTCACCCACAGCATCAGCTCCATTATCAATGGGCGGTGAGCACAGTGCCTTCCACGCCCTTCCGATGACCTTGCCGCTGCAGATGCCCATGACCTTGCCCCCGGCTTCGGCGGCCGCCTTTGCCCTCAGTTTCGCCCGCCAGTACATCGCCAAATATATGGGAACGCCAGTAAATCTCGGTCACAATCCGCTAATTGCTGGTCAGGATTCATCAGGATTGAGGGAGCAGCAGCTGGAGGATCATGAGGAGGAGAGGGAGAGGGAAAGGGAGAGGGAGCAGGAGGAGGAGGTAATCAACGTGGAACACAACGACGAGTGACCATTATTCCTATCGCTTTAAATCGAGAATTTAGTGCAATTTTTACTTAATTTATGAACGTTTGAAGCACATTTAACCGCGTGCTGAGTACAAATAAAATCGAAACGATATAAGTTCTCACGAGTTTCGTATAATTGGTTTGGGAATTCCGAAGATGACACCCTTTGACACATCCCCAAGAGGGAGGGGATGGGTTTTGAAAGAGACTTTTCGAAAATAACTCAAGTGGACAAATCTGACAATTTTGTGGCTACCAAAAGCGAAGTGAAAAGCAGACACAGAGGCAGTGGCACAGGCTCCAACTCCACATCTCAAGTACCTGGCAAACTTGGGTTTAAGATCATTGGGATCTTCAGAGATGGGTGATCGGGGGATTGGAGGGATCGGGGGATTCCATTGCGGGAGCCGGGTGATTAATGTGGCTTTAATTACATGCGCTGCTGCCAAGAGAGTCGTCGCCGTCCTCGTTTTTGTCGTCAATGTGTATGCTCGGATGGATCACTATAATTATATAGATGGCCGAATTAAATTTTAATTTAACGCCTGTCAAATCAGAAAACCACTGCCATAATCGTTCGCTCAAGAGATCCCCGATCCACGATTCACGATCCACGGGGGCAGCTCCCCCAAAACAGTTATTCATTTCATCACTGATGATCGCTGATCGGTGATCCGGTGATCGCTGATCGGTGAGAATCAATCGAACTATGCGCCAAGCGCTATTTTACCATCATTCCATTATTGATTGTTCGGATTGTAATGAGCCACCGAAGGCGTCAACTCCAGCGTCGATCGCCGATGAAAGAATGGAGTGAAGAAAGACGCCTGCCCGCCAAGAGAATGCGAAACAATTAAAGCCCCGAATCTCCGTACGGATCCCGAATACCTGCGGCTTTCAATGAGTCGTCGAAATGGATTGCGCCGCAAGTGGGGGATACACCGGAAAAAATCGAATTAAAAATCAATTTGACTTGCGCTGGTTTTGAGTGGTGAGTATTCTTTGGGATCTCGATTTATCCTGTCATCAAGGCGCCATTAAATTGACACACAAAACAAGGGTTCAATGTAGGAGAATTAATTGGGAAAGGATTATTTACAGATGAAAATATTTTAATTAAATATGTAATATATATTAACATGCATAAAACATTTAAAAACAATTTTAAAGTATACTTTAAAGTACCTATAAAATATAGTTGGAGTGTTCAAAATTATCTAAAAATGTTGAATTCTTATTAAATAATTAGAAAGACATAAAAATTATATGTATTTGACATGTTTGATTGAATTGTTGAAGATAAAACAAAACAGAATTATATTTATGTTTGATATGCGTTGTATCAAATATGATTTAAACAGACTTTTACTTTTAGTTTCTACCGAATTATCATTTTTGTATACTTATATAATGATTCAGTACCATATACACTTTTATATTATTTACAGTGAACACTCATAGCTCATGTGGCCGCCTGAAATTGCTTTCCCCTTAGATTGCCTTTGTGGCAAATGTGGCGCTTTGGGGTCATGTGAGAGAATTGTGTTCGATGTCGAGTGTCTTTGAATGAGAATCGAAGTGGAAGTGGACCTGCGACCCGAAATTGGTTGCATATCATCCGAGGGTCCCAGTTGCATCCCTGTCGCAGCTTCGAGCGTTGTCTGCTGCCTGTACCTGTTAATTGCCAAAGGCGTTAGTATTAAGTGGTTTTCGTGCTTATTATAAATATCTCTTAATTTTCGCCATCCCCACGCTCTGCTGGTGTGAGTGGCAAAATCTTGAAATGGCAATCACCGACTTGCAATTCCCAACTTCCAACTTCCAACTCCGATTCTCCAACTCCAACTCTTGGCCAAAAGGCAGCCAAGTGGACAACGTCTGCGGACTCGTCGTCGTCTGCTTTGTTGTCATTATGTTGTGTTATTTGGCACGATTTGTTAAGCTAAGGAGCAGGAATGGGACTGTGTTGAAGACTACGGACCAGGGGCGAACTAGGGAGATATTATTTGGGGTACATATTAAATAAATACCTAATACAAAAAAGTAACTCGATTTAAACAGAAATAAAATAAAATAAATTCCTCAAAAGAACTTGTTGACATTATGGATTGCTTGCAATTGGGAAAACTTTTCGCACAGTTATATGTTTTGATTTTAATAGTTGAAAATAAAATTATCATTATGTCAATATAAAACATTATGAAATGCTATTCAAATATTAAGACGATGGCATATGGCAGAATTACTTATAAAAGAAGTGATTATTTTTGATTGGAAATAATAATTCATTTATCAGTAGACATTTTTCAACCATTTTAAAGTCTAAACATTCTTGGTGTATATGGTGGAATTAAAGTTGGGATAACTTAGCCCCATGAAACCCCCCTGGATTCGCCACTGCCCTCTGATCTGAAGTCGCAACTGAAGCTGAAGGCTGTGCGCGGTTGCATGATGCTGCCGATCGATTGGGCCCGAATCGATCAGCGGCGAGGAGCGGCACCAGAAATGGCCAAAGCCTCGCGACTCCGGTAGCCGATCACTAGTTATACGGCCCCTCCAGGCAGCCACCTCACCGCTTTTGGCCCTCTTTGAGAGTGCTGAGAGTTGCCGCTTTTGGCCATGAGATCGGGAGCCAAACTGGCGTCGCACAGCACACAGGGCCTATATAATTGTCGCATGCAAGATCGCGGCCATCGACATCGGCATTGACAACTCGCCGAGGATTGGGATTGGATATGTAGGATGGCAGAGAGGAGGTTCCTGTGGAGGAGGAGGAGGGGTATACAAGACAGCAGGACATGAAAGGTAACGCATTGCTGCGACCAGGAGAATAAGTAATTCACTTAACGCTTTAATATCGCTGATAAATGCAGACCAATCTGCATTCCCCCCGCTTTTCTGTTTTTTTTTTTTTTCTGCAGAGCGCCCATACATTTCCCCTTAATTGGTGCAATTTCGAGCGATTTTATTTTATTTCGCCTGCGTTTCATTTAGCTGATCCTCAGTTTTTTTTATTTTGCCTTAGATCCAGGGCTCCTTCTTGGGTTCTTGGGGAGTTCACCTGTGCCTGCGCAGACTTTGTGGCTGCGGCGTGCGAACAGTGTGCTCATTTGCATAAATTCAAATTCATTTGCACGGCATTTGGGAATGGGAATCCAACGACTGCCAATGCGAATCCGAATACGAATGCGATTCGAGCATTGTTTTGCACGTGTTGACAAGTTGCGGGGGGTGCAATTGGAGGAGCCCCGAAGGAGAAGGGGACTCAACCAGAGGAGGTACCGGATGCCCCGATGATAAAATGCGCATCCTCTCCAGAGAGAACGCGAATCCACCTTTAGTTTGGTCCAACCGACGACGTCTATGCGAGTTTAATGCAAGCCTAAGCCTATAATTTGATCGTATCCACACAATAACTCAGAGCCGAACCCAAATCGGAGCTTAAGAGTGGACCTCAGTGGACCTTAGTGGACCTCGGCGGACTCCAGCGGAGTGCAAAATGCCCAGTGGCGCTTTTTGGGGCGTGGCCACGCCGAGCAAGAGCAGTGACAGACCCGATAATGGATGCGCAGCAATGCCATTTCTGGCAGATCGGGGAGTACTCCGCGGCTTCTGATAAGACCACCAGCGGGAAACACTCAAAAATAATAAAAACCCCTCTTGCACCAAAATTAAATAAGTAAGTAAATATAATTAAAACAAAATCAATAATAAATTATTATTATAATATTATCGTTGGTAATACCAAAAGAGTTTTAACTGTGAACATTTATTTCACAAATTTAAAAAATATAAATAAATAATGCTTACAGTAATACAGAAATATTTTAAATAATTTAAAACAAATTGAAGTGCCTATCAGTTTCTTAAACAATTAGTTCTAAAGAAATATTTTTATTTTTTCTGTTAATTTGTCCAGTATATTAGATACGTTTGTTTGAGTGCATCGAATTTGCTGCGGCAGCAGGACAAGTAGTTGTTGAAAGCGTCGAGCGAGTGCCCAGCCAGGAACGCCCGGCTCACTTAGCAGCGGCCAGGAGTCGCAACTCCGCTGGGGAGCTGGTCAACTGGTGAGCTGGACACCGGGATAGAATCGATCGATCGGATTACCCGGCAGGCTTTTCAATTCAACACATCCTCCGGTCGCCGCGGCAATTATATGCTCGTACCCGCACGCATTCATATCCGATCTGCCACGCCCCCTCAATTGGGCGTGCGACGCCAATTATAAAGGCAGAGCACCCAGGACGCTGACTTAAATAAATGCGCAAGTTTGGAAATTGAAAGGGAATTAGCGGTGGGCAGGCAAAGCTGATCTGCAGAAATATTGTGCATAATTATATGCTAATCCGTTGGCATTGAATTATGTGCATCCGTGTGTGGTCACTTACCTTTTCGGTTTTCGGATTGGAAATAAAAGAAAGTGCGGGGAAATTCTTTTCCAGCGGCGCCTCATCACGTAATTGGGATTTCCCGGCTTCCTTTTACATCTTTGGTGGCATGCCACCCGCGGTCTGTTTGCATTGAAGTCGATCATGTAAGTAATTTCCCCTCTCCGGGATCCGAAGCCCCAAATTCGAATCCAAATCCGAACCGACAATCGGTAGGAGATTGATTACTGTTAGGAGTGTGATAAATCGCTGTTTTTATTAACTTTTTCGGGATGACGCAGCGAAATCGGAGCTGCATCTCCAGTCACCAGTGGTCGGCACATGAATAAGATCTGGGAATCAGATCAGCGTGATAATGTATAATTTGTTGGAGTCGTCGTCGATGTGTTATGGTAAACCAGAAACAAAGGCAATGCCTCTCAGTAAGGTTAATTGAATTTGCTGTAGGATGGAGAGAGATTTTCCGCAATGTTTGGACAGCTTATATAAGTACAGCTTAAAAATAATAAGATTTTTTTTTTTGTATTATAAAACATCATTTTTCAGACTGTTGTTTTATTAAATAATAAATAAGAATTGATGCTTATCGAAATTGATTTTGCATTTTTGATATAACTTTATTACTTTTGTTACTTTTTTAATTGTTTTTGATTTTTTTTTAAATTTAAAAATTATTTTATGTTTGACTAAGGCCATAATACAGCTAATTTTTTAACCCATCACAACATAAAAATTTGTTTATTAATGTATTAAAGCTAACAAAACAATACAAGCAACATACTTTTTCCTTTAAAACCTTTTATACAAAAACTATTTTGTTCATGAAATTAAAAATAAAAGACTCAATTGCAGAAAAATTTTCTTCATAATGACTATTGAGTCGCGTTTGTTCGACTTGTGATTTTAAAAATATTCAAATAGTCCGCCTATTTCATAGAACATATCGATATATCGATAAGCAAAGGTGTACTTGTAGACGGAGTCTCTTAACTGCGGGTGTGTTTTGGCCACACTGTAAAACAATTCCAAGTGGGACACGCTTAACTATTTTTTTGCCAATTCGCCATTAATTCCAAGCGTCTCAGCTGTTCCAAAAAATTTGCGAATCCATTAAATGTGTTTTACCAAGCGGCCGTCGCGATCCGTGGATTTTAAAGGCTCTTTAGCAGCGTCAGGGAGTTAAAAACCCGACTTTGTGGCCAAGATTGCACAGAAATCAGCGCCAGCGTCAGCAAAAGTTTCATTAGCAACTCGGTTATCAGCTGCGGAAACTAAAGTCGAGAGTTGGGCAATCCACTAGGAAAAAGTTCAGAAACCATAGAAACCAGTTGCCATGGCGAGTCCCAGGACGCGAAGGGTGCTCCAGGAACTGAAGCCCCAGGATGAGAACTCGGTGGGTTTGGTCCTTGGCACACAAAACCAACAAAGTTAATAATTCTTTGTTTAAATTCCCAGAAATGCTTTGAGTGTGGCACCCACAATCCACAGTGGGTTTCAGTGACCTACGGCATCTGGATATGCCTGGAGTGCTCTGGCAAACATCGCAGTCTGGGAGTGCACTTGTCCTTCGTGCGATCTGTTACCATGGATAAGTGGAAGGACATCGAGCTGGAAAAGATGAAGGCGGGTGGCAATCGAAATGCCCGCGAGTTCCTGGAAGATCAACCGGATTGGAACGAACGGGCGCCAATTACCCAGCGTTACAATTCCAAGGCGGCGGCCTTGTACCGGGATAAAATCGCAACTTTGGCCCAGGGCAAGAACTGGGATCTCAAGGAAGCGGAAGCGCGAGTGGGCAGCAGTAATAGTTATAGCGGAGGGGGAGGCTCCAGCAACAACAGCAGCTCCCAATCGCGTCCCAGTGCAACAGGTTATGGCGGCGGTGGAGGCTATCAAAACGGGGGAGGCGGCGAAACTGGAGGCTATCAACAGTACCAAACGCAGGAGTTTAAGGACCAGAAAGAGGAATTCTTCAGCAGACGCCAAGTGGAGAACGCCTCAAGGCCAGAGTAATTTTTTCGAACCATACAATTAAGCATTTTGTATAATTCATGTGTTATTCCAGACACTTGCCACCGAGTCAGGGCGGAAAGTACGCAGGTTTCGGGTTCACACGTGAACCCCCACCGAAAACGCAATCTCAGGAAATCATCGACTCAACGCTGTCTACTTTGGCATCTGGCTGGAGTCTTTTCTCCACGAACGCCTCCAAGTTGGCCAACACCGCCAAGGAGAAGGCCGTCACCACAGTCAATTTGGCCTCAACGAAGGTAAGTCTTTATAAAATTGAACCGTTTGTCTTCCGGATTTGGTTAATTTTCTTTTGATTTCATTATTGCTGATTTACAAATACGATTTCCATTTTTATTCATTTTGAACTTGAATTAATTTATTTTTTGTAGTATTTATTTCTTAGATTTTTGAGACAGTAATTTAAATAAATTGATATTTTAAAATATAATTTTCTTTTAAAGCTATTTTTAATATTTGAGTAACGATGTTGAAAAACCTTGTTAACACTGAAATCAAAATAGAACGAATCTGTGAAAGCAAATATCCCAAATCGGTTTGTTTATTCAGTTTGTATATTTCTTATTTGTATTATTTATTATCGCTTTTGTTTGTAGATTAAAGAAGGAACCTTGCTAGATTCCGTTCAGAGCGGAGTTACTGATGTGGCCAGCAAGGTCTGTAGTTTGCAGTTGAATGCCCAGTTTAACCCTGTAAAGGCATCACAAAACTCATATCCCTACTTCTTATTATTTACAACTATAGGTCACCGATATGGGCAAGCGAGGCTGGAACAACTTGGCGGGCAGCAACATCTCCTCGCCCCAGGGCGGCTACAACGATCCCAACTTCGAGGACAGCGCCTACCAGCGCTCCAATTCGGTGGGCGGTAATCTGGCTGGCGGATTGGGCCAGCAGAGCGGCGTAAGCGACAGCGACTGGGGCGGTTGGCAGGATAACGCCAACAACAAGACACACCTGACCAGCTCCAGTTCGTACCAAAATCAGCTTAGCAGCAGCGGAGGAAACGCCACCGCCGGCCTCACCCACGATGCCGACTGGTCCGGCTTCGAGTCGTCCAATTACCAGAGCTCGGAGACGTCCTACCAGAACGCTCCGTCCGGCGGATCGACGGCCCGCCGCAACATGAAACTGCAGGACACGTCGCAGAAGCTGAGCGAAGGATTCGAGAACCTGGATGTGAAGAATGTCAAGTCCAAGCCGGCTGCCTCTGCTTCGGGGAATAAAGCCACCGCCGAGGACGATGCCTGGGACCTGTTGATGAATTAGAATCCGTGCGATTGTTTTTTGTATTTCATTCAGTTCGTTGTGTCTACTTTGTTATGTGTCTTGATGTCAGGCCGAGGCTGTTGTGCGCGCATTTAATGTAACTAACGAATATGTATTCCCCAAAACTACCGGCATGCTCCAACTTCAAACATATTGTGCAACTATTCCCATTTATTTCCACAGTTTAGACCAATTTTGTATAGATCTACTTAACGAATTAATTAGCTTAAAATATATATACCAGGATTCTGAAGGTTGCGATGAGATGAGAAAATACATATTATGTTAACAAGTGTATAGATTGGTTTATTGTGCTGGTGAAGTTTATTTGATTTCAAGGATAACATAATTCATTGGACTTAAATCCATGTTGAATTAAACAAATATTTTGCCTACTAAACGGATTTTAAAATAGATCGAGTGACCATGTAAATCATCTGGCAAAAATCTATTATTGGTTTGAGTCTCGACTGTCCAGTGACACAAACCTTTTTCGTGGTATATTTTAGGTAGTTCCCAGCACATTAAGATGTTTATCTAGATAAGCCTCCGTGGTCACACTGTGAAACCAAAATTCGATTTCGCTTAAAATTAAAGAGTTCTCTATGTTTTCCCTTTACGCCAAATAGCCACAGGAATAGCGTAAAACCAGACAAACTGATCTAAAGCCCATTTAATAGGTAATTGCAAAAAAAATCTAAAGAAAGAAATTTAAGTTTATCACTTTCTTTTGCATATCCACATTCCATTCGCTTGAGTGTGTGTGTGCAAGAAAATCGCGAGTGCAGAATAATTTTTGCCAAATTGGCAGCATTTCGCGTGAAATTTGAGTCACACCCGGCTGGAGAAACTCTTGAGAAAGGTGGATAATTTCGAACAAAAACGAGAAAGTGTGTTAGAGCACGGATAATTTCCCATTTAAAGCTGCGCTTGCAAGTAGAAAGTTCGAGTTGCCGAGGGAAACTCTCCCTTTTACCTCCACTCCCCCTCTAATTTTTTGGAGACATGTGCGTGTGCGTGAAGCTGCTGGTTTTCAAGGTTTTCCGGAAGCGCTGTGGCCTTCAAATTAGCTGCGAAAATCAATGGAAGTCCAAGTGCCAGAAATTGTCACCTTTTTGCAGCCAAGAAGAAACGATCCAGATGACTTCATCGTGGGGGAAATTCGATACGCTAGGCTTGTTTATTTTTTCCCCAGACATAACATTAAATAAGTAGTGTATACAATATATGATTCCTTTCAGGCCACCATTTTTCCACTTAATTCCCCGAGCAGTCCAAAATGTGCCGGCCATAAAAGCAGAGCAGCAGTTATCCCAGCACGTTATCCCCTAGAGAAATCGAGAGACTAGCAAACCCAGAGATATCCTTCAGCTGCCAGTAAAAAACTCGAGGTAAACTGTAAACACGAGTGTGGAGAATGGTCAGAAAGCAAGTTGGAATCGAACACAGCGCATCCTTAGCAGTAAGCAAGCAGCAGGATCAAACGGAGCAGGACTACAAGTTGAAGGATCAGAAGCCAAAGGAACAGGAGCAGCAGCGCATCGACTTAGACTTGACGCCGGATCCGGCCAACAACAAGAACAACTTCAACTTCGCCCAGCAGGCGCAGGCCACCTACTCCGCCCGCACCCTATCCGCCAGCTATGAGCACGGCCAGAATCTCGGCCTGCAACATGCCCATCTCGCCGCCACGCCCTACGACCTGTACGAGGTCGCCAGCTCCGGCTCCATCCTGCCCACCGAGATCCCCATCGAGGACGAGGAGCGGCTGGAGCGGATCTTCAATAAGCTGGACCGCGACGGCGACGGCAGGATCGACATCCACGACCTCTCGGCGGCCTTGCACGAGTTCGGCTTGTCGAGCGTCTACGCGGAGGTGAGTAAATGGAGCAGAAAATCAGCAGAGACTTTGTTATTCATAGGAAAAGTATTTTGTTAGTTGTCTAAAGCATTGTTCCGTTTAATTGTTGAAACATATGTGTATTGGTTATTGCCTTGTGTATTTTTGGTCAGTCCCAATAATCTTTTATTAAATAAAAGCATCCAATTAGTGAGGGCAGTCGTATAACTTTTCATCTGTTGTATTATGTTATTAAAAGGATGGCATAAATATATAGAAATTGTTGAAAGTAATTCTTGATTTGCACAGATTTAATTTTTTTTTCTTAAAGCTTTAACCACCCAGAATATCTTTTTATTCGTATATAAAGCAAACCATTATGTATTTAGTTTTTATAATACAGTTACTATCTTCAAAAGAGTCTTACAAATATTTATTCTTAATAAATACTATATACATATCATTTAATGAGATAAGTTTGCCACGTGTGCCCGGGTCTTCTCTCAGGGATTTGCAATGCCTTTGTTATATTCTATTCTAAAGAAAAACAGCGAAAGGTAGAGATCAATAATATGTGGCCTTGAATGCCGGTCGTATCTGAAAATCTTAATTTATGCAATGTGCATTATTAGCATTCCCTGATCTGGGCGAAGCATTTGGCATGGCTGCTGACCCTGGGCAGCTTAACCCTTCGTATCAGTGTGTCATATCTGTGCCAAAAAAAGGGTTCATTAAAACAAGAGAATTGCCAAAAAAGAGAACAATAGACGTGATTCTATTTTTGGATGAGCACATTAGTTTTGACCGCAGACGTGTTTGTTTGATTAGCAGAGTCTGTGCATGGCTAATAATACCCGCTTTATTTACATTTAAGCCAAAACAAGCTTGTAGTTGTTCGCTCATAAAAATATAAACATTGAGGTACAAACAGTTCTGACAAAACAATGGAATAGTTTGAAAGGTTGTTGGATTTATACTGATTTTTTACTTGACGTTAGCTAGCTAACAATGACATGATTTTTATAACCAATAAGCCTGTGGTGAAAACCCTATTATCTTGTAAAAATCATCAGATTGTGAAATTACATGCAACAAGTAGTTCGACAAGCCTAAAAAAGCAATCAGAATTGGATTAGCTGGTACACAGAGGGTTAATGTGTAGACGGCTGAGGATATTTTTATGGTTTCCGCTGGCGAAGCCCTCATGATACGGGAAATTGATTTGTTTTAACGATTCAGGTCGATACTCATGTCAGCGGCTCATTATGCGAGAAGCTTTCCAGCGGGTACCACTAATTTCTAGAAATATTCCAGGAGTAAATAGTACCCAGTAACATTCCGTATGATTTTTCCTTGCTTACTTATTAATTGCAATGTTTTTTTTCTTTCAGAAATTCCTTCAACAGTCGGACAAGGATCAGAGCGGCAACGTGGGCTTCGCCGAGTTCCTGCATTATGTGCGGGAACATGAGAAGAACTTGGTCCTGCAGTTCTCGCACCTAGATAAAAATCGTGATGGTGCGTACTTACCTTATTTGAAGGTGATAGAGTTCAATATTTTAATTCTTATGCAGGCAAAGTGGACTTGGAGGAGCTGATTTCCGCATTCAAGGACCTGGGTCTTGATATTGACCTGGACGAGGCTAGGAATCTGCTCACCAGGTTGGTTAAATCATTGTTAATCTGGATAAACAATGCTTTAACTACACATTTTATCTTGCAGAATGGATAAGGACGGCAGCCTGAACATTAGCTTTAACGAGTGGCGCGACTTTATGCTCTTGGCGCCCTCGACGGACATTCACGACTTAATTAAATTTTGGCGGCACTCTACTGTAAGTAAATTCAGCGACTAACCCAAATCAATAGTATTTAGTGCAAGTTCTTGTGTTAAAGAGAAGAGGACAGTGGGTCTTTAATTGGATTTCCACTGCCCGTCTGATATTCTTCATAGTATTTGTTCAATCGCGTTCGTTTTTGCCTAGAAATCTATATTAGTACCTTTGTAGCTGTTTAATGTTCTCGTACTTTCAACTAATTGCCAATTTTTACCATTCTTATCCTTGCCCATATCCAAAACAAAATTAAACCAACAAAAACACTCCACACCTAACGCTCCAAACTTTCAAATGTAGTTCCTACACCCACACCACTCCTGACTAACTGAGGAAGATCTGAAGGTACATATCCGTCAAGTTACATATTACGATTACCATTAATATTGTTGTAGACCCTCCTCCCCACGTAGAAGCGGGGCACTCGAAAACACATACGTACATTGAACACACCCATCCCACCCACCGAGAAAGGCTTTATCATCCAGTCCCATTCGCTAATCAGCCACGAGTTGTATTGCCTGCATGTGTATTATTTTCCTAGTGTTTTACCTTCACCCAAGAGAGCATTGAGATCGGCCGATTTTCGAGGACCGAACCGCTGAAAAGTCGTAGCTTTTATTATATTGGCCGGACTCTCTTAATTGCTCTCTTTTCGTTGTGGATGACGCAAATGTCACGCTTATTTCATCAGACTTTTTTAAATCACGTTTTATGGGAAGTCCGTTTATGATATTGTCCCGCCCTCTTATCGGGATAATTTTCACATTGTCAGAAATACCCAGCATGTTTAGTTACACGGCGAAAAAGGTGGATCATGATCAAAAGATTAAATTAAAGTGGTTTCCTTAAATGGCAAAAAACTTAATTTCTTTGTTTTGGGGGAAAACATATGGCTTTCATTGGCTGACTAAGTTTTCTTTTGTGAGTAATGGAGGGAAAATAAAAGGAAAAGAAAACAATTGGTTTTTATATGTGGTTAGTCCAAGCTTAATCATTGAGTTGAATAAAATCTTATAAAACCACCAAACAACCTAACTAAATGGCGGACTCTTCTAGAAAATTCAATTTTAATTCACTGTCATTATTGCTTTCTTTGTGCTGTAGTGTAATTAGAAATTTATATATTTATCTTGATTATACTTTAATATTGATAAGTTGATTTCGAACTTTTGAAAAGTAATGGTATTATCTAATTTTTTTCTGTGTGCGGAGGCAGGTGACGATGTCATCGCATTGTCCGCGTAATCATTTTGTTTACTTTTATCATCTTTTGCTCACTGTCACTGGTAATTTCCACCATTTATATCAATCCCATGTAACTGAAAAGTGACATCAAATGAACACGCCTCTGTATATTCATATTATTTAGCGGAATCGAAATTTGGACCTCCTCGAATGTCTGGAACCACTTTTTCAAAATTTCTGATTATCAGTCGCAGGTTTTTTTGTGCTTTATTTTTATTTGCTTTTACTCTGGCGACTGTGCAGACTTGAATGCTTAAGGTCAACCGGCTCCGCGGGATTGTTGTCAAGCAGCAGACTTAGTATGGCGAATGCTCGGTAGCCGGTTCATTGGCTCTGACGTACTGCAAACTAGACAGGTCCCGTTTCGCTTCTATTTTTAGGAACCCTGCAAGGTCAGCAGAGGGCTGGACTCTCCGGAATGGCAATCGCATTGCATTAACCTGATGAACAGGAAGAAGTGTGAGCGGTGGTGGGTCACGTCGAAACAATCGCACTAACTGGCCTTTAATTAAGTTTGTGACCATAATTAAGTTGCCTGCAATACGATGATTGATTCGCCCAGAGATTGGACACATTTTCGCGCCGATAAGACCCACACACTCATCTATTTGCTCTGTCGTTAGTATGTTGCGAAAAATATTTACTCGAATTGTGCTCCCTGTAATCACTCTTGGCCAAAGTCCGCAGTCTAGAAGTTGTAACTGCCGCGCACTTGTGATATTTTTTTTCGAGAACTCCAGACAGCAGCTGCAACCAGTGCTTCATTCCTTGCTGGAAACCTCTCAAAGTGAGCCGACAAACTAAATATTGTATAAGTTTAAAGGCATAACAGACATATCTCTAACACGCAGTTGGGACTTGGACAACTTCATTTGATAAGTACGTGGATGTTGCTTGCATGACGGTCGCGATCATATAATTCAAGTGTTTCTCGGAATTGTTGTTCATTATTACGAGACATTGGCAATTTAAGACCGATGGGTGCTCGTTAAGTAGGCAATTGAATAGCACCCGGTGCAGTTAACCACATATATTTATTGAGCATCGTAAATTAATTCCAGCTTGTTAAGGGGAGGGTAAGGTCAAATCATGCGAAAAAAGCCATGTTTTTGAGATTTTTTTCCTGACGACATAGTTAAAATTTATTTATTCAACCAACGGTATATTAAGGTATGACATTAGAAGAATGTTTTACCAAATTTTTACAAAAAAATATTAAAAAATGTGGCAATGGTAGCAATTGTCCGGACGTGTCGCCAAAAAAAGTTGAATTGCGGTGCCCCTCATAACTCGGTGCTGGATCATCCGAAATCAAAAAATGAAAATTCATTCGTTAGATAATAGTTCGCCCCAGGTAACGCTGTAAAGTTTTTTTGAAAATTGCAATTTTTTAATTTTTTGGAAGATTTTGAAGTGAAAAACACAATTTTTTGGGAAAAAATCGGTAATTTTTTCATTGCAAAATCAAAATTATGAAAAAAAAAAAAAAAAAACTCGACAGCGTTACCTCGTAAAATATGTACAGAAATAGTATTTAAAATTTCAAAAAGATCGGTGCAGTAGTTTTGAAGTTATTAGGGGCACCGACTTTGAAAATAGCGTGTTCGGCAAAATCGATTCAAAGTATTTTTATACGTGAAAATACGCCCAAATACGGTTGTTTAAAACGCTGTAACTCCGTTAGTTTGACTTTAATTGACTCAAAATTTTTACACAATGTTCTCGACATATTAATCATTCAGAAAAAAAAAAAAAAAAAATATTAAAAAAAATTTTTAAAACCTTACCCTCCCCTTAAGGTATCGCTTACAACTAAGTACATCTTACGCCAGGGACAGGCCCTTAAAAATGGGTGTGTTTGCGGCTTTCTCGGACTTTTTTTCTTCTTATCTCGAGCGATAGTCTAGAATCTTGTGGTCAGAGCTCAGTTTTCAATGACTAGCTTGTTTTCCAACGTTTTTTTTGCTGTTTGATAAGAGCGCGACACATTTATATTGCGTTTTTATATTGAATTCTAAATGTGTTTTCTGTTGACGACGCGCGAAAGGTACGTACGAACCTTTTGGACTGGCTTTAAACTAATCAGAAAACTTATTTGCGAATATGACGTATGCATAGTAATGAAGTGGAAAAAATTTCCACCGGCTGTAAACAATTAGGATCACCTCCGGAGAGAGCGTCACCCAGGCGAGAAGCTAATAAAGTCACACGCCCGTCATGTGGCTATCAACGCGGTGGCAGACCCTCGAGAGATGGTGTTAAGTCGGTCCGATCCGGTTAGCCATGCGAAAAGTCGCTTCATGATAAAGATTCGAAACGTGTAAACAATAACAGGCAAATAAATGCCAAAAGTGTCTGGCCCATTGACTGAAGTTATCGTTTATTGGCTACTTTTCGCACTCCAGGGTTTTGAACTTGAGAGAAATTTGTTTTTTCTTTCAGTAGAATAAATTTCCTGAATACTTTGCTAAAAACTTCCTTAAAATGCACTCGTTATTTCTATTTAGTTTCCCTGTTTCACATATCTGGTTATTACATAATTTTCATTAAAAAGTGTTATATACTTAGGATTAAAAGAAATTGTGATGGCATAAAAAATAAGTATATTTTTAAAAGGGACTTTAAAAACTATTTTTCAAAGACAAAGCTAAGAAAAGAAAAAAAAATGTGCATAAAAAATCATAAATAATTCCTTTAGCTCTACTTTTTCCCAGAAAATCCCTAGCTTTCCTCTTGTAATTTTCCACATAAAATATATAGAAGGTAGTACAGGATACTGGATGTTTTTGATTAGGGTATATATGGCTTCGATCCCTTATCGCCAGACGTTCCCCTTCCTTAATTTGTTTATTTTGACTGGCGAACAAAGTGTGGGGAAAAACGTGGAGGGGTGTGCGGGGAGATGCGTGTCAAATAGGCTCAAGCAATGATGGCTAATTGGGAAGAAGCCGCCGATTCTGGGCGGTGGGGTTTATTTTCCCCAGCAGCAGGGGTTGTTCAGAGGCCGCACGCGCGCTGCCCTATCAAATAAAATTTTGGGGGAAAAACAGAGAGGAGAGAGGAGGTACTATAGTCGCGACTCGCGAAAAGCACAGGCCCATGTCGGTTGTAATTTGCTCTCGGGAAACTACAAATCGCGAAGCTTCGTCCGCGATCGCCGACGCTCTCAGTTCCACGATTTCTCGGATTCGGATTCGGAAACAGTCTTCAGTCAGCTGGCTCCCGCGTTGGTTGTGCGCGCGTTAAACACTCTCAAGCCCCACTGAAATAAAAATCGCTTCTGCACTGGAGCGTAGTTATATAATTGAGCTCGAGCGCTGTTCTCTTTCGCGACAAGTGTGTAAATACAATTGCAATCAAGCGAATCGGGCAAAGGCCACAGCATCGACGAGATAATTTATAGTAAAGAAATATAGAAAAACCCAAAAGCCAAAGAGAGCTGCACAAATATATATTGTGTCACAGCTTCGAGTGAAAGTTTTGCAATTGTTTTGACTGACCAGTGAAAGCCACATTCCGGCGCTAAAATAGGCGGAAACGGAAATCGCAATTCAAGATCGGAAGCAAAGAAGTGCAAACTAGACAAGATGCTGCGGAATAGCACATATCAGTACAATCTGCCCGTCGATTACCACAATATTCAGCATATGGCAGTCGCGGGCGACATGATGGAGGACTTTGCGGTCATATTCCGCGATATGATGGGACGGGTAGGTCATCGACAGGCCCCTTTTTTATGGCCTTTTAGTCTAAAGTTCTAAGAATTTATATACTTTATATGGCCAAGTGCAGCGGAAGCTGACTCATTCGTTAACTATTTACTGGATTTTAATCTTATCGTTTGTGGTTTTTCCTGGAAGTTCAATGGGAATCATGCCATGAGGCAGTCTCTGTTTTCAAAGATTTATTGAACAACCAAGAGAAGCGGAACAAACTATTGGTTTGCAAAATATTTATCATGTTAATGTAAACAGAACTTAAGAAATAATTTGTAAAAGATAAAGAAAGAAGCTTGCAATGGTAAAGTTTTTGAATGTACTTTTGTTAATGGAAATAGTATTCCCCTTCTGATATTTTTTTTCTCCCTGTGCCTCTAAAAATACCCTTCAAAATGGCAGCGATTCAATTTCCATTCCGCTATTCAACTTCGCAGCTGCTGCAATTGTTCGCTGCACTTGTACTTACACAATAACTCATTTGGTGCGTCGTCGCCTTCGTCGTGGTTTTGGTGTTCGTGTTTTTTTTTCTTTAAAGTTGCCCCATGGACGTAAAAGTCGCATAGCAACAGACGATCGATCGATGGACGGATGGCGGGCTAAAACGAGCTTCGTCGGGTGAAGTGCTGCTGATAGGGAACCGGTCCGTTGCGTCGCTCCTCCCCGAATTCTCCCTGAACGGCGGTCTTTAACTTTAACGATCGCCGAAGACGACATACTTTGCTCACGAACGCACACTTAGATTTGCGTTTCGCGTGGCTCTCCTTCTTTTTCTCTCTATCTTATACATTTTTTTTCATAGTTGTTGCCAAGTGACGGCAAACGTCACGATTTTGTGCTCTTGGCCAACAGGGCGTATGTGTGTTAATGTGCCTCAAAAAATATGAGTGTAAAAAGTATACGCATAGTGGGCGACTGAGTCATGTTTGCCATGTGAGCACCTCCCTTTTGGCCCCTCCACTTGGATAATTGGTCAAGCCCCCACAAGTTCCGTGACGTCAACAGTTTTCTCTCTTTATAAACGTGCTGATATTTACATTACACTGAATGTTTACTTTGAAACTCGCTGACGTCGACGGGGGATTTAACCCGCGTCAAGATCGTTGGAGCAAATTCTGCTGGCATGAGTCAAGTTCATCAGACGGTCGATGATCTATACTCCATCTATATGCCTTGAAAAAATCCAAATAATGGTAACCGATAGCCTTCGCGCCATGCTTCATCGACGAAGGTATTGAAAAGCTTGTAAATGCCTCTATGTAATCAAAGAGCATTCATTCATGGTTTCGAAAAAAACCCAGTTATCTATTAACCTGTTTTCTTTTCGGCCAAGACTGCGCTCCTTTCACGGCCATTTCCACGTTCGTGCGCCAAATTCACGGCTATCTTATAAATAGATCATTGTCTATAAAAAAAAGCTCTCTTTTGGCAGTCATGTGACTGTAGATAAAATGTATATAAAACGATTCGGAAATGATCAATTCCATCAGGAGTGACGTTGCATTTGGGAGGCCAATTTACATTCCGTAAAATTCCATCGCTCTTATTGCGTCGGATTAATATTCCATTAAATGATCAGAAAACATTCCCACAATCCAGTGAATGGGCAGCCCATGTGATTGCCAGTCGCTAATTGAGAGTGCAAACTGAAGTTGTTTATGTTGTTAATCCCACTTAACCCATTCGGTGAACTTAACCCTCTGTTATCATCGCAATCAAAGGTTGAATTAAAATTCTGGAAGAGTCTTTTCCGAAATTGTCACCGTGCGAATGTGACAGACACGCAAAATGATTTGGCACATCCGAGTCGGATGTGTTTACCGGACTATACTGGATATATCTTGCTTTGCTAAATAGGTAAACAAATCACTTTAGTGCTGTTATTATTTGCATGACTATTGTCCAAATTAACTTCAATGTCATTTGACCGTGAGGGGAATAAGTGTAATAACCTTTTCTGAATTTTCTTTATAATTCTGTTAGCGGGAATCACTCGGATTCAGTTCAATTTTTGCTCGCGGGAAAGCTTTAAACATCACAAGACTTGATAATTGTTATCAATTTCAGACAGCTTTCCGACTATCAGCGGCATTAATTCGCCTTAAACCCAAAAGCTGTACAATTCATAGAAATGAATAATATTTCACTCTCCATTCAGAGCCATTCGGCGTTAGTTTCTGAAAGGGATTTGCTTTTGCCAAATTACACAACCAATTGGCGGCAGACGAGAGGCGAGCCAATTATAATTATTTTCTTCGGGGTGGGGCACACGTCTGAAAAGAAAACAGAAATCGAGAAAATTAAGTATATAGTTGCGGCACGAACTAGATATACATTGTACACAGAACATCCACATGCAGCCAAACTAATGTGAATGATATAACCTTTGTTTACGGCTGTCGGCTGCATCGCTCTTTTTTTTCCCGCTTCCGCAATTCTCAGTCAGCCGATGGGGATTTTTGTTGCGCGTGTGGATTGCGTAGTTCGCCCATCACATCACTCTCTTGCATTTTGCATTCTGCACTAGCAATTTGCATTATTATTTAGTATTACCTCACGGCAGCAGCACCACCTGGTTTATTTTGAAGAGCAAAAGCAGACGGTGGTTAATTGATAAGCTAATGGTGCTGGAGGCTCTTAATCATCCGCTTAACTTTGGGGAAAACGTCCAAGAATGTCGTCGTCCCGAGGAAGTTTTGGTAGTTTCTGAAATATTTTCAAAACATGGAAAAGAAACAAAAAGATTGCACAGAAAAACTCATTTTATTTTTCCTTTTACTCTTATTTGTTTGTATTTGTTTATTGTATTACCATACACTGCCAAATTTTTGCTTTTGCTCTTAATTTCTAGTATTTGATTACTGTATTAGCACTATCTGATTTGTTCGCTATGAACTTTAAAACTCATTATACAAATGTATTTATTTTGTTATTAAAATGTTAAATGTTAGTGTAGATATCTTATAACTTGCATGGCGAGTAGCTAAACAATTCATTAAACTTAAACCTAGATTTACAATCTCACACCTAGAGTCTTTAAACTTTCTAACCAAGTGCCTTTTGATCCTTACAGTACCTCGACATAGGCGAGGATATGAATGTACCTGATGACTTCACACAGAAAGAGATGCAGACGGGCCTCTGGTGGCGACATTTGGTGGCGGGTGGCATTGCCGGAGCAGTTTCCCGGACGTGCACAGCGCCGCTGGACAGGATCAAAGTGTACTTGCAAGTAAGTTTTACTTAGCTAAAAGAAAACCTTCCCATAGATATCTAACCAAATTTATTTCCTTTTTCAGGTACAAACGCAAAGAATGGGAATCTCAGAGTGTATGCACATCATGCTGAACGAAGGCGGATCGCGGAGCATGTGGCGAGGCAATGGCATCAATGTGTTGAAGATTGCCCCGGAGACTGCCTTCAAGTTCGCTGCCTACGAACAGATGAAGCGACTGATCCGCGGAGACGACGCTAGCCGGCAAATGAGCATAGTGGAGCGTTTCTACGCGGGCGCCGCGGCAGGCGGTATTTCACAGACCATCATCTACCCCATGGAAGTATTAAAGACGCGACTGGCGCTCAGAAAGACGGGCCAGTACGCGGGCATTGCCGATGCCGCGGCCAAGATCTACAAGCACGAGGGAGTGCGCAGCTTCTACCGCGGCTACGTGCCGAACATCCTGGGAATCCTGCCCTACGCCGGCATTGATCTGGCTGTGTACGAGACGCTGAAGCGACGGTACATCGCCAACCACGACAACAACGAGCAGCCCAGCTTCCTGGTGCTCCTGGCCTGTGGCAGCACATCGAGCACACTCGGACAGCTCTGCTCCTACCCGCTGGCCCTGGTGCGCACTCGGCTACAGGCACAAGGTGAGCATTGTTATTCAAGGTTTTTCTCGGAATCACTCAACCAAGAGTGTGTGCTTCGAGGAATTTAAATAACTGCACATCTGTTGGTAGAGTTTAATGGAAAAAAAGATCTAACGGTTTTGTAGTTATCTAGTGAAAAACAAAATAGACTCCAAGTTAACTTGCAAAATTAATTATAATTTTGATTCCATCTTTATTCATTGAAAAGGATAGTGTAGTTATTATTTCTAAAAATCATATGAGTAAAATACAATGTATACTTAGTGCTTTCCTATTTTCCTTTTTATTACCGAAAAAGCTATAATTATATTCCCCATTTTCTCTTGCAGCCGCCGAAACAATTGCCAATCAAAAGCGGAAGACGCAAATACCCCTGAAGAGCAGCGACGCGCACAGCGGCGAGGAGACGATGACGGGTCTGTTCCGCAAGATCGTGCGGCAGGAGGGCCTGACGGGACTGTACCGCGGCATCACGCCCAACTTCCTCAAGGTGCTGCCGGCGGTGTCCATCAGCTACGTGGTGTACGAGTACTCGAGTCGCGCCCTGGGCATCAAGATGTCGTGAGGTGTCTGCCTTAAGCTCGCTCCTCCGATCAGGTTAACTCGGCTCGGCCCGGCCGCCCGGCTGCGGACCCGCTCTGCAGGGCGGATCGGGCTGCGGTCGGGATGGCGGCCGGTGATCCCCGGACGCTGAGACGCTGTGCTCCATTTTGTATAGTAGTAGCGGTAGGTTAAGTCGGCCAGCCCGCCACTCGCTCTCTGCTGCAACGAGCGAACGAACGAATACTCGTGATCGTGACTCGTGCTGCTTTCCTTAAGTGTAAAACAAAACTAAACAACAGGCCTCTTCCACGTTCTGGGTTATCCTTTTAAGTTTTTATAGTTGAATTAGTTTGGTTATTTTCTTAAAATACAAAATAAGTGATACTACGGCTAATTTATTTATAAATGCGAATGCGAAAATGTTACATTTTGGCGCGTGGTGGACGCGACGCGACGCGAGCTAATCCCACACATTTCTTAGGCTATCCTGCTGCGACCTACAAGTAGGTTTAGGCCACACTATCTCTTAAGTGCTAATTTATTTACAATTGTACGTAGGCTACGTCAGTAAACTGCTAAAAAGAATGAAAACAGAAAACAACAAACACATACCAAAAAACGGAACCGGCTTCGAAAAGTTTCACGGGTTTTCAGTTTGTCCCATCCGACACTGCTTTCGAAAGCGAAATAAAAGCGTAAATCAGAGTGAGCGAGGCAGGCTGAATGCGAATGCGAATGCGAGGGAATTAGAAGTCCAATCGACGGATATTCGGCAGCGTTTTAAGCTTAAACACAAAAGACATTAAAACTACGATGTACTCGTTTTTGCTTAGATTAATGGATTACACAAAATAATGAGAAACACTTAACGTTTACAATGTGATGATAATAGTTTATAATATACACATATATACATATACCTACTATGATACCGACTTGTAAGCCTCCAAGTTGTCGGCGGCGAGGCTGAAAAAATTGTAGCATTTTATTTGTTAAGTTTAGTAACACTTTCTCTTAGATCGTATTGCAATTGAAGCCAACGAGATTAATTGTGACTAAAGCTAACAAACAAAACAAACACAACAACACCCACACACACCCGCACATACAATGTAATTTATTTTATATATCATGTGAATCTGAACCCGAACGCAAAACAGACCAATCTTAAGTTCAATCATATTTTATACACACTGTACGGTTCTGAATTTAAAAGTATATGTATAATTTGTACCTTACTCTTAATTAGCCAATTGAATTTTGTACGTCTATAGTGAAAGTAATGACTCTTTAAATATGATTTTTTATTATCCAAAACATGCTTTATCACAGCACCGCATTTTAATGAAGTCTATCACGTTTGAATCATTTGTCCCATTTGATCATTAAATACCATGCAAATAAATACAACAATTAAAATGAAATTTAACTCAAAATTTGTTTATAATTTATTAGTCTTATGTTTCTCAATTCCACAGGATGTGCATCTAGTCAGAGATTACTTTAAGTTAAATCCATATCATCTATTTTGTTATGGCGAACCAAAAAAAGATAAAAAACAAAAATCGGAGTGCTACAGAACAATGTTAAAATATACTCTTCTACTTTAAAGGTCTTTCCATGCTGATAAACGAATGGTTGACAAAGTCTATCTAGTCCATGAGAAAATTTAAATATTAATGAAAAATTCAAAACTCAAGTTGATATTTTCCAGGCGAAAGATTATACTTAAAATATTTAACTACGGATATATAACTAAATACTCTTATATACATATTGTTATATTTTTGTACGTTTAGCTAATTTTTAAATAAATTATTTAATGTGATTTATAAGCCCGATTCCAGTTACAAATAAATTGAATACTATAACTGATCTTGCTTGCATTTTAAGTGGAACAAAAGTAAATAGAAATAGAAAAACTATATAAGGTTACAAACAATCAAATTGATATTTAAGATGTTGGTGTATTTATTTCAAAAATAAATAAAATCTTACAAAACATATCGAAAGTGAACACCGATGACCGGGTGGTACTAGTTCAAAACTCAATACCGAATATTTATAATGCGGCGAACTGAACGATCGGTGCTATTTTTGGAGGGCGAACGTCCGCCAGCTGTTTTCAATACTCAACGGCCGTGTGTGGTGGTCATTTGGTGAATTATTTTTCATCCGCTGCACCGAAAATCTGAATTAGATTTTATATAATTTGGAGCAAGAATGGAGTTCGATGCCACCTATCATCAGATCTGCTCCGCGCAGACCGTTCAGTCGGAGAAGAGGGGCTTCTTCAACGAGTTCTGCGTGGATGTGCGGGATGCATGTGGCGACAAGTGGCTGCGGAACTACTTCGGCAAGCTGAAGTCCAATGCGGCCCGTGTGCTCTCGATCTTCAGCGATCGCGAGGTTTGCGATCCCGTCCTGGGTGTCCTCGAGCATGTCCAGCCGGTCTTCAAGCAGAAGGATGCCCTCTTCTCCGCCCAACGACGTGCCCAGGCGGATAAATTCTTCCTCATGAGCGGCAATGGCGAGAGTGAGGAGAGCAAGGAGCTGCTCCAGCAGGCTCTGATGGCCGCCAATCTGGCCGTGATGAGGGCTCCGGACCGGAATGCAGATCCCGTCATTGACGATGGCCTCACTCTGGCATTGGCCTACAGGTCGAGGGCCTCCATCCTGATCCGACTGGGCGAGGGAGAGGCTGCCCTAAGTGACCTCAAGTTGGCCACAAACTTCGGACTAGATCTGAAGTCTAGCGTGGATTACTACTGCAAGATGGCCAAAGCTTATGCAGGTGGGTTTCACTACATATATTCTGGGAAATTAATTTAATTTAAAAAAACTAGGAATATATCCCTGAACTTTTTTCCCAAAAATGATATTTAGAATATGTTGGCTTAATATTAATTTTACATTATATCTTGCAGTTATGGGAGAACCTGCCCGAGCAGAGATCTCTTTAAAGATTGCCGAAAAGATGGCTGGTTCTGATCCCACCCACATTGCCTTATGTCGCAAGGAAATAGCTGCAGTAAAGCCGACTCCTAAGGAAACCTCTAGAGAACAGGTGCCTACTTTAGCACATGGAGAAAATCCCGAACTGAGTGGAGCCTCCAAAGTGGTGAGACTGGTTGAGACCAAGGAGAAGGGTCGTTTTGTGGTGGCCAACGAAGGTCTGCGAACTGGAGATGTGCTACTCTGCGAGGAACCAGTGGCCGCCTGTTTGGAGCCTAGTTTCTTTGGCACTCATTGTCATAATTGTTTTAAGAGGTATTTAAATATCTGCAGATTAAAGATAAATTATTTAAAATACCTTTTTTTTATAGGTTGCACACCCCGGTTTCCTGCCTTCATTGCTCGGGAGTCGCCTTTTGTTCCGCTCAGTGTATGGGCGAAGCCTGCTCAAGTTACCATAGATTCGAGTGCGAGTTCATGGATTTGATGATTGGTTCCGGAATGTCGATCCTGTGCTTCATTGCCCTGCGTGTCTTTACGCAGGCGTCCAGTTTGGAGCAGGGATTGGCCACCGCCAATCTGCTTTTCGAGCACATGTGCTCCCACGAGGACGAACGCCAGCCGGAGGACTACTTGCAGCGATCCCTGATGGCTGGCTTCCTGATGCGCATCCTCCAGAAGTCCCTGTACTTTGGTCGTCGCAAGACGGAGGGCGTGAATCCCACGGCTGTGGAGTTGCAGGTGGCCACCGCTCTGCTGGGTCTTCTCCAGGTGCTCCAGTACAATGCCCACCAGCTCTACCAAACCCAAGTGACCGAGGAGCATCGATTCGACGGGAGCAAGACGGTGTACCTTGCTGCTGGATTATACGGTACTGGATCCTACTTCAATCACGAGTGCTGGCCCAGGTTAGTAACTGATATATAATCCTCTCAAGAAATGATTTTTTAGGTGTTACAAATTGTTTTTAAAAGCTGATTTAATTTTCTTCCATTTGACTTTCTTTTTTAATTGAATTACCATTTATTTTTAATATCATTTTTTGTTATTGTAGCACTGCTTGTCATTTTGTGGGCAAGAAGTTAGTCCTTACGGCAACAAAGCCACATCGGCCCAACGAGATTGTAGCAGTGAACTACGGACCCATTTTTATCAAGAACAACCTAAAGGAAAGGCAGAGATCCTTGCGAGGACGCTACTCCTTCAACTGCAATTGCATGGCCTGCCAGGAAAACTGGCCATTGCTTCAGAAATTGGATAAGCAAGTGCGATTTTGGTAAGTAAATTAAGGGTTATTTAATGAAAAATATTTTATAGTTTTGTATCGTATGTTTTTTAAGGTGCACTTCTGCGAACTGCGTCAACTTGCTGAAGTTCCCGAAGGACTTGGCCAAGGATGTGCGTTGTGCTCGCTGTCGCAAAAATATTTCTCTCAAGGAGAGCGTTGCTAAATTAATCAAGATCGAGGAACTATATCGAGAGGCTGCCCGTGCTATGGAGGCTCAGCAAACCTTGGAGGCTATTGAACTTTTCAAGGAGGGACTCGAGATGTTCTTCCAGGTGGCTGCTCTGCCCCACAAGGACACTATAGTCGCGCAGCAATCTCTTCATAAATGCTTGTCGGACACAGGTACTACTTTCAAAAAGGAGGGAAAATAAAATGTAAATAGTCACATTTATGTATTATTAAATCGTTTTTCTACTTGACTACAAATTAATTGAAATTGTAATAAAAAAATAGTTATTTGACATGATAAATATGAGTTAACGGCTTGGTAAAATAAGTATTTATAGCAACACAGGTTGCAAACATTTTAATTTTACAAATTTGGAATTATGCTACTAGTAATTTAAAAACGGTTTTAATATGGGAAATTTGAATTTGTTGTTTTAAATTTGGCTGCCGTTAATTGAAACAGCTATAAAAAAGCCAAAATGGACGAAATTGGCAACACTGAGGCTCATTTGGAAGATACTTTAAGATATTATGAAAAAATAAAAATGCGGCCACACTGTTCGCATTTGTTTTGAAATACACTATATTGTTTTCCGGGCAAAATGTTTAAAAAGCTGAAACCAGGCGAAAGTGAGGAGGATGTGCTGCGAATGGCAGCTGAGTTTAATGCGGAGAAAGCGAAAAATCCAAATTTCCAGCCTGCGGCGGCTTTTGTGCGGATGGATAAGGGTAAGTCAAATTGTCTGTAAGAAATATTGCTTCGAAGGGATATTGTTTATTTTTTATATTTTTAGCTCCAAAGAAGTCTATGTTTGCCCAAAAACGTGAACAAGCTAAACTGGGACGCATTACCTCTGTCGTAGAAAACAAACCGGTAGAAAGTACGCCGGCGGCTAAAGTAATCCAAGAACGACCAACAAGTGTCTTGAAAGAAAGCCAACCACATGTTAACCAAGCTCTGCTGGACGAAATTCAGGAAAATATTCTGGGAGATGTAAAAGGCAGTAAACTGAATCCAAGTTCTCTAGGCAATGTATTGGGTGAACTGGTAGAAAGAACTGATGGATCTAGAAAACCTGCAAACCACGAACCCAAACTGGTTTGTAGTAAATAAAAAAAAGGGTTCTATGTTGTTAACGATTCTCCATTTTTAAGGTCAACAGCGGCAAACCTCTTAGCATTTTTGCAAGACAACTTTTAGGAGCAAGTTCTCAAAATCCTGAACAATCAAGGACTCCTACAAATGTTGCAGAACACGATAGAAGTTCTATTGTAAAAGATGTAAGGCTCGGCAAAGAGCTACACGAAGAAAACCTAAATGTACTTAACCAAATGAGCGAAAGAGATATTATGGCAGAAAAAGAAAAGTTGCTGGCTTCGTTGGGTAAATATGTTTTATTCTATTAAGTTTTATATTTCTTAAAACCCCAAAATATCTCTCAAGATCCTTCGTTGATTGCTTTGCTGACCAAGAAACTTCAATCTAGCCAAAAACCAGTGGAAAAAAAGACATCTCCCAAGATTATTGAGGCACCACCACAGCGTCCGAAAGTCACACCATCCTCAGAAACACAAGATTCACCTATTGCTACTCTACCGGATTCAAATCCAGCTCTTGAACTTCTACAACAGAGTGATGCAGGCAATTGGGTAAACTTCAACCTCGTGGAAGAACACAAACTAGCGTGGATGCGGGACATTCCCACCAAGTTAAGCGAATTGAAGCCAGGACAGCAGTTTAATGCACGCTTCGATTGGAAAGGTGTGCTTCTACCACATACTCTTAAGGATCAAGATTCATCAACTCAACTAGATGACCGAGAGCTGTATTTGCACGGAGAAGAGGCAGACCGCCCGGGCTATACACTTCAGGAGCTTTTCCGTTTGGCAAGGTGAAGGTAGAGTTTCCATATCAAAATGTTTACTAATCCTCTATATGTTCTTTATAGGTCCACTGTCTTGCAGCAACGGATCTCTGCTTTCGGTGCAATAGCGGGAATATTTAGCATCTATAACCAGGGCTTCTACGATCAAGTACTGTCCCTACCAATATCAAAAATATTCTTTCTACTACGATTCGGGCTCGATGATAATGCCCCCGCTCAACTTGAAGTTGTGAGCCGAGCTCTGGCCAACTTGTTTTATAATGAAACGGATGAAGTGCTACTCGATCACATTCAGGATAATGCCTACTGCCACTGGCAACCAACGCTGCAGGTTTTGGGGAACGGCAGCGATGATAAAGAAGGAGATACAGATACCAATTCGATAGCTTTTCTACAACGCTACATGAAGCTACTAACCACCAGTCAATCTGTGCGAGCGGAAGTTAATGAAGATGAGTCGGAAAGTCGCATGTCAATGGATGACTTTCAACTGGCGGAGACAGATCTCATAGAATGTCTGCTTAGAACAAATATATTGCAAAGGGTTCGGTAAGCGAATGAGTTGAACAGTATATTATGAACAGTATATTTTATACTGATAATGATGTCTTTTGTAGGTTTATTTTGGACTCAGTGAAACCAGACAACAGCACAGTGGAGTCCTGTTTGAAATTGCTTATACGAATCGCCCGCACAAGTATCAAAGTGGCTCGTCAATTAACGAATGAAAGCCATCTTATAGAAATACTCTTTACGCATTTTCTGCCCTCTTCCAACGGAAACAATCAGTTTTATGGTCAGCCTCAAGTTTTATTTCTAAAATTGATACGGTTGTTGGTTTGCCAACATCTGGATTTAGCCAAGATTCTTTCTAAAGGAGTTTTAATTGTGCGCCTCCAACAATACTTGTTCCTTCAGGATACTAAGGTTTGCATGCTAATCTATTTGTGACTTAATTATATTTATTTCGAATCTCTTTGGCAGGTCCAGATGGTGCGTGTTCAGATCGAAGCACTGCGCATCCTGCGCTGTCTGCTGCTCCTGGGAATCGTGGATCGGGATATTTTCAGGTGGGTGACCGCTACCCCAGCATTACTATTATTTCGTCCCAGATGAATTTTCCGTTTACGTTGATGTAGCACTGCATAGTTTCATAGGCGGTTTCGCAGCCATCTAGACCCTCTGTGACAAGTTTCAGATAATAATGATTTATTGCTAGAGTTTCTAAAACATTTCCCTTACTCTTAGTGCCACAGGCCTCTATTAGTCCATTAATTACATGGTGTATTTCCACAGGTAAAACTTCCAGGAGTGCATCCAAGTGCATAACGTTTTGGGAGTCAATCTGTAGGCAACTCAGTATTTACATAAAAACATATAGTAGTCAAAACTTTTGAACTTACCAATCCGAACATATCAAACATGCAGTGTATAAAGCATTTAAACTCTGGAAAGCTGGGTATTTCTCTCTTTCTTGTGAACTCTTCCATAATTTCTGTTGTTCAGGAGATTTGTATGTGTTCCTTTTAACACTACTAACTAGCTACTAACCTGCGGAGGCTCCGGTCTGATTTATACATCTCAATCTCAGCTTCTTTACTTGTTTTATGATCATAGGACTCATCTCCACCTTATTGTTAGTTATAAATTAAATAGTGTTCGATGGTCTTGTAGCAACTTACTCCTTCATTAGCAGGGATAAAATCGTATATTATGAGTAATCCCAGTAAAAGTCCAAAGTTCCAGGAAGCCATTCTAAAAGTTATTTTGAATCGGACCTCAAAATTGCTTAAACCAAACTGAGCTGTGTAAAATGTTCTGCTCGTTTTTATAGCGAAGTCCAGTTCCCACTAATAACTGTTATTGGATGGCACTTTCAGGCAGTTCCTGCCCGCGCTTCGCCAGCTGCTGGATTGGCATGGAAATCACTGTGCTTTCGATGGAGTGGGCGGTTCGGGGCTGGTGCGACAACACGCAGCCGCCCTGTTGGTCGCACTGGTGGCAAGTGGCGAGAGCGGAGTGTGCGATGTCGAGGGTCAGAAGCTGCTCGTGGAACCGCTGCACAATTGCTGCTGCGGCTGGCTGCATTCGGCGACGCGTGTCGAAAAGATTAAAGATGTAAGTAGCAATCGTCGTTATTTTCAAAAGATTTTGGCTTATTGTTTGACTTTATCATTCTTCGTTTGTCCCAATAACAAAATCTGCCGAAACTTAAATTACTATTTTGCATTATTAGTTAATGATAATGATAGTCCAGAAAGGCATAATATTTAAGAAGGTTGTACTTAAATTACGTTACTGCATTCGTAATCGAATTAATGTATTAAATTATTGATATTCAACTGAGCTTTTGTTTTATATAAAATATAATTTTAATGAATCTTTTAAGAACTTTTCAACCTTTAAACCAATTAATTTGTTATTGCTAACTTATTGAAAATTGTGAATAATTATTAACGAAAAGAGATATTCACAATAACTTGTTATATGTCTGCCTTTCCAGTTTAGCCAGATGACTCTTCTGAGTGCATCCCTTTATGCCGTCTCCTGGTTTTCTCGAAATGGCTTTTTGGGAATCACCAGCTTCCAGCCCTTTCTGCGCAGTATTCTGCCGAAATTTGTGCAGTCCAGTGGTTTCATAGCAAGCGTGCATGACTTGGCGTAAGTTTAGCAAGGCGAACTCCTATTGAATCACACTTAATTGCTATTTCACAGAAAGAGCTCTGTGATGCTGCGACTCCCTCTTGATCGGCGCCACGTGCATGCAGCGTTGCCTAATGTGGGCTCGGTGTTGATGCACGACTACGGACCCCAGCTGATTATCAGTGAGTCGTACCCGGTGCACCTGTTAAGTAATCTCTGGGCCCTGCTCGCTGTTTCGCTGGAAAATGGCGAGAAGCCATTGTTTGGGGCGCTTATGCAACCGCCGGTTTTGGAGCCGCTCGCCGTGTATCTGCGCCAGTTGAGCTCGAAACTTAATCGGATCCTGGCCACCAACTTTTTTGCCCGGAGCGAGTTGAGGTTCATTCACCAGCTGCTTACCACAGACGGAATGGAGACCTACTTGGAGCGCCAGCAGTTGTTGCAGTTGGTGTACAACTACCTCTGCTGCCTGTCCACCGCCCACGCCACGCAAATCAAGAGCACCTTCGAGCGATTCATCTTCAATGCAGAATTCGTAAAACTGGACGAAGCTAGTTTAAAACTTTTGCAGCAAACCTGCCTGGAAATGGTCTATCCACACATAATAGCTGTAGGTATTCAAAAAGGAAAGGGAACTTTAAATTAATCCGAAATTTAAGATATTTTGATTTATTGTTACATTCAGAATTTGATTACCTTTAAATCCAACATTTTCGCACTTAACTTATTGATTTTTTTGCTTTTACTTTAGGACAACTCAGAGCCGTCGTTATCCTTGAGCTACACCCAAGCGCCCATCCTGCCCGCCGACTGGCCCTTCTTCCAGCTGCGGCTTATCCTTAGCAATTACTTGCAAAATGTGCAGCAGCGACCGGCGGCAATATACTCAGGTGAGAAGCGCACACTTCGAACTTTGCCATTCTTGGGGATAAAGAAAATATTTTCCTTCTTTTTTTTGCGAGCAGAGAACCAGGTGGTTCGCATGACGTTGACTTTTGTGCGGCAACTGGAGCAAGAGGGCCTGCAGATTGTTAGCCCTCTGGAGAAGCTCATGTATCTGATGATTGCCTTCATGGGTCCTGACTCACAATTCCTTACGCCGGATTTGCATGAGCTGCTGCGCGATATCCTAATGGATTTCTACGCGCAGAACGCCGACCATGACTTTGACTTTGATGCGGAGCTGGTCGATAAGGCTAGGTTCGAGCCGCTGTACTATCTGTTTGTCGAACACTTTGAGGCGGCCAGCTATGGCGATGAGTTGTTTAGCTCACTGGTGCTATTGCCCTTGGCCCAAAAATACAATAACAAGTGGCGAAGGCGTCTTTGGTCCGAACACGTGCAAGCTGTGCGGTTTATAAATTGCGATGAGAATTTGGTAAGTTAACTTAAATTTAAATTCGTTTTTTTTTATATTAAATATTTTGTATGTTTTCAGCTGATGGGCGGTTTGTCTGCTTATTTGGAGCCCGTGGAAGAGGAGCCTTCGCTGGTGAAGCTATACGGTGATGCATTGGAAGAACAGCTAGTTCGTCCTGGCAGCATTGCCTATCGGATAGCCAAGCACCACTTCAACCAATCGACGGCAGTGCAAAAAGCCAAATTGTTTTGACTATCTGAACACTAATTGCTGATAGTCCTAGTAGTTCTTCAGTTGCTGTGGTAAAACTGCGATAAAGATATTTAACTTTAGAATCCAAAGTCTTTTTAATGTGACAATATTCTATTTTTAAGACTAGCGTTTTGGTTTAACTACCGAGTGTGTCCAAGGTGCTACCTCGGAGTAAGGGTATATGGAAATTTATTTCTTTATGGAACTTGTTATGAAACTTTTAAGTGATGTGAAGAGACATTTTAGTTTTGTTCACAGAAGTAGAGATTGTTCAACTTAGAAGACTTGTTAAAAGTTAGTGCACAGTTTGTTCAAATTAAAAAGTTTGAATGCTTGGGTAGGTAATTACTGGAAATTCCCTTAAACCCGATAGGCAAGTCGTTTGTCATTACCGTGTTGCACTTTTTCTAGAAGTGACCGTGAATAGCTGAGGCGAATAATTAGTTGGCCACAGTTACACATTGGATTCCTTGGTTGTGTAACAATGCGTTTGGACTAATTACGGGCAAACGTAAACTGCTTTTGGCATGCTGTCGCTTGCAAAGCATTTCGCTATCGGCCTCAATTAATTAACATCATTTGACTTATTGACACATGGGCCACGACGACTTGCCTCCTCCTTCGCGACTGTCGCAGAAATGGTGAGCATTGACGGCTGATAAAATATATGTAATTAAAATGAACACAATTGAGGGGCCAGTGCTAATTAAATCATTTGATCTAAGTACTCGTGCATGTTGGTATTTCGATACTGTCCCATACGCCTTGGGCCCACATTCCGGCAAATGACTTGTCACGGGGCTTTCTCTTGACACATGGCGTATGCGCAACATTGGCCCGCATAATTTGGCTTTTGCATGATTTATAATAGTTCGAAAGGAGTAACCAAACACCGCGAGGCGTTAGTCTGCGAGTGTTTATGCGGTAATTGTGGTAATTGCTTTTAAATGGACGCTAATTATTTGATAACTACGGGGTGTGAGCGCCGTCGGTAAATATTTGCAAAGACATCATAAATTTAACCAGCGCTAATCTGTTAAGTCAACTGAAATTAAATTTCGATCGAATGGGCTATTAATAGGCAGTCCAAACTTGATTGCCACTTGAAATTTAAAACTGATAGAGAAGGCATTGCATGAATTTGTAATTTTCAAGCTAATTGCATTGTTATCATTTTGAATCCTTGAAAATTAATCATCAAGCGTTTGGATTGGGATTCTAGATATAATTGTTGAAAGACTTATATATTTAAGAAATGAAATTGTGAAGCCCTACAGCTAGCCAGCAACATTGCTAAATTGTATTTTTATTTCTAAGAGGATTAAATTCCTATAAGCAATAGAATTCTACTACTTATATATATTCAAACTGGTTGATTTGGTTTTTCCCTTTACAACAAAATCAATAGTGTGGGGCAATGTTTTTGTTTGATAAAGAATCAAGGTCTGCCGCAGTTACATTGCAGGTTGTAGGCCAAATTCCCGAGTTTTTGTTTGTGTACGCCGGTATCCGGAGTTGGCTCTTATCGTTGATAAAAACATTCGAATCGCTAGATAGCAAGCTTCCATTTATTGTAGGCCCTCGATATGATTGTGCCTGCCAGTTAATAAAACCTATTGGCCTCCGTTGGCGATCACCACGTCCAAATATTTGCATTATGTGCACTTGACAAGGAACCGGTTTTAATTGTTACCCTCCTCTGGGATTCACCAATTGTCATCCAGCTCCTTGACAAAATATTTGCTCGTTTCTCTGCCAACTAAACAAAAGCCGGTTGAATTGTCATATGGTTATATCAGTCTTTGGTACTTGCCAACAGCTGGTAAATATTTGAAATAGTTCGTGAAAAAAAAAAACTCAAGTTTGCAAATTTACTATTTAAGACTTCCTTTAAATAAGCAATTCTTCAGTTTACAACGTAAATACTTCTTGGAATGTGGTTTAAAACTCTTCAAAGACAATTTGGTAAGTAAAAGATTTGCCTAATTGGATTGTTAACAATTTTTAATTTAGTGAGAAAACAAAGTGTTAAAAAAAATTATTTTTTAACTTTTAATTTTTTACTAGCTTGTTAAAATAGTAACAGAAATTAACTACTAATTTATTACAATTTATTTTTTTTTAATTCAAAAAATAAGCTAGATATTTTATTCAACCCTTTAAAGAGTGTAGATTTCAGTTATCACCTTTACTAACACATTTTTCAAAGGTGATTAACTCAAATTTTCACCGGTTTAGGTGTATCTAAGTGCATGGAAACGACTCACAGAGTTCTACTCCCAACTACCTGAGTCATGTTCCAGCTCATTCGGTTAACGGGCTTCCAAAGGTTTGCATTTCCCAAACGTATTTATTATGTCATTGCGATATGGCAAACATTTGTAAGGGTGCAAAAGCCACCACCGAGGGAACTCCGTGTATTTCACAGATACGAAACCGAAAACTGAGTAAACTCCGCATGCGCGTGTGTGAAGTGGAATTTTTGTGCCGCATGTTTGGGCAACTTTGGTTCGATCGCGCACGCTATATATACGTACTATATAGTATGGCTCGTTATGCTGTCGTTCGTCGGCGGCGCAGCATTTTGTTTGTTCGCCGCACTCGGCTGCGGCGAATTCGGCTCGTTCGCCGCCGCTTTTGATATTTTGTGGCGATCGCGGCGCGAGTTTGCCTCAGTCATTCGTCGACTCTCTTCACGTTGTGGATAGCTCCCACCGGGAATAGAAATCGGGAATCCGTTCTGCTGCCACGTTTGTGTCCACAAAACCAAATAAAACACCCAGCTATCGAAGAGGTAAACAACACTATGCGCCGTCTCTGGATTCGTTTATTTTCGGTGCTGGATATTTATTTTCGAAACAGGCCCCTTTAGGCGCAAGTGCTCAAGTGTTTTTGAAGATACAAAAGAATATATACAAGTATCCGGGAGATACGAAAGCACGGTTCGTCGTGTATCTGCCCCACCTAGGAAACCCATCCTAGGCTGCTCATCCTACTGGAACGCAATTAATTATCGCGGAAGAAGAGCGTTTTGCAGTGCAAGAAAGCGGAACATCGAAACCGAATTGAATTGCAATTGTAATTGCAGAGTGTTGCCGAGCCAAGCCAATTTGTAGTGACGGTGTTAAAGTAAAGTACTTTTTGGGAATTTTAAGTAGGCCTTGTGGTCGTATTGGAATTCACACGAATCTCAAGTACTCGCCTACAGTTCATGGGTTCCGTCGCAGCGCTGATAATACAATAATTACTTCGTTTTCGTTTTCGTTTTCCGATTTCGAATTTCGCTGGCGCGGTTAAATATTTACCCAATAGTACGAGTGTGAGTTTTTAGTGAAAAAGTGCATAAATTACTGGCGTTTCAACGCTCACAGGGTGAAGCACAACCAAATTTATAAATTACCTGCCAGTTGGATATTAATTTTTTGTGTTTCGGTGAGTTTGCAGAGCGGTAAATATACTTTTTAAATTTATGTACATACTGGCTGTGGCTTTTTTGGCCAGCTGTGTTGGCTTTGTTTATCGCCCGGAGTGCGAATGTTGTTTCTTTTTTGTCTATGCGTCCAGCAGTAATTCAATAAACCTCATCTCTCCACCCGCAGAGAATTTAATTATGAAAGCTTTTAATCCAAAATCTTCGAGCACCCGCTCTTCCAATCGCCTCCCCATTTTTATCATTTGTTTATACAAATTTCGTGGAACGTGATTCAGACTGGTCAGCTGGCAGATAAAACCGCTTTTCCGAGATTTCCTCCACTCGCAAAAGCACAAGCAGGCCCATTTTATTTTTATATCGCTGTAAGTGATTGCCATGCACTTGGACTTGAAAGCCATTACCAGTTTTCCGGGTCCGGTCTCATCTATCTTCGGCAAGTGCTCTCGTTCATCTCCATATATTTGTGACACTAAATAGAGGAATAATTCATCGGTGCAGTCGTCTGCCTTTCTGAAATTCTGTGACGACAATCTGGAATATAATCATCCAGCTAGGATTGCGGTTAGTTGTCATTTGATGAGGTGCATTCGCATATCTGGTTGTACGTACATAAGTTTGAATAACTTTGCCACTAGAATTGGCTTTTCAACAACAGTCAGTGGTTTTGGTTTTTGTTTTTGTTATATTAAATCACAACAAATCGCCTGGGATTCTTATCCATTTCTCGTGAGCTAGATATTATTTAATGAACTTTTTTGTTAAGTGTCAGTAAGCAAATAATCATTATGTTGAGGTTATAATCAGCACTAAATATAATGATAAAAAATTACTTTAAAAAAAAAGAGAAATTCAGTGTTTTGTGTAATAAATTAATTTGTTAGCATTCCGCCTGTAAAAACCTGTTCGTAATGGTAAACTGCTTTAAGTACTTAATAAATAGTTTATAATTTGTTTGGCATTTCAAGTACAAACATTGTTTGCTATTGAGTGCCTATTGAAGCCTATTTCAATTTTATGAAGAGGAAGTACATTAAAAATTGCTTTTCAAAAGTGTGCATATCAGAGTGAAAATAAAAAAATAAAGAACAAATAAAGGCGCACAAATAAAGAAAAATTAAGCTGTCCCATAAATTGCGGCTCTCAAAATTTTTACAAAACAAAGCCAATTTATTAAATAGCTCTTTACATAAATATGTAAACTTCAAACTAAGATTAAAATATTCTATTCTTAAATCTGGTTAGTTGAAACCCTACACCTACGAAAATCCATTTTTAAACAAAATGCAAAACCTTGGAAATTTGATATTCTTAGCAAACAAAATTTCATTTTGCTGGTCAATCAATAAAAACGTGCTCGGCAGCATAAATCCTAGAATTAGGGTTCTTTTATTAGTTTTTAGAGGGATTCCCAATTTTTATAGACAAACTTTGAAAAGATTAAATATTTGTTTGATGTGTAAAACAATACCAACAGACTTGCCTAACTTTTGAACCTGTGAAAAAAAGAAAAAACCCTTAGAACCAAAATGCAGCTGCATAAGTGACTTAAAATTGCGCCTGGCAACAGGAATCCAGGACCTGGGGTTGCACTCCTGTTACTCCTGCCGCTCCTGCCACCCCGAAACCCCGAACCATATTGATTGAAACTCTTATGGGGTTGCATTTGAAGGTCGTGGCCTATATAAGCCGAGTGTACATAGAAACCGAACTGGATTCCGCGGGGCTCAGCTCAGCTGGTCGCTGTCGGAGCGCATATGGGCGAACCGAGCACATGCCTCGATTAACTTGTCCATTTGCCAAGCCATTGACACAGCCCGACTAATGGAAATGCAACTCAAATTGTCACCTCTCCTCGTAATGACTCTCGACCGACTGGAACTGTGGGCTGTGGGTGCGGCGGGGTCGCCGCTTTTGTGGCTCAACTGGCGCTAAAGCCAAAGCTGGCTGATCCAAGAGCTTTGGCTGTCAGCCAGCAGCAGTGGTGTCATTTTTTTCTGAGCAAAAAAAGCTGGATTAACGAAAAAAAAAAGCTAAAAAAAGCGGATTACCAGAAAAAAAAAGTTAAGAAAAAAGCTGATTTTTATAAAGCAATATGCTGTATGTTTTTCATTAATAAATATAATATAATATACATGAAAGTACGAAAACTAGGTATTAAAGTACGTTTAAGATTTCGTCAATATCATCGGTAATCGGTAATCGGATAAAAACTCTGCTGAGCAACAAATATGCAAAGCGCTACCTCCTGCTCAGTGTTGGCGTTTTAGCAAAATGTATTTTATTTTTTTGCACAAATCCCTCCATAGCAATGCTGTGCTTTTTTGTAGCAGCATGTGCTCGTAAGTCGCTAAATTTTGCAGTTATGCTGCACTTACAATAGCTGCAAAACATTCGCGTAAGGTTTGTAGGATCCTTCCTCATCCACTCTTTAAACTCCGTGCTCTGTAGCCAGGCATCTCTGACTTTTTGCTTGTAGGCTTACTTTGGCATCGTCAATATCTTTCAGCGCACGAGAATTTCACAAAGTTAGTAATGGAAGACGCTTCAATTTAGGTGCGATCTTTTGGTGAAACTTTCTCGATACAAGTAAATATCCATTTTTTTGTCGATAGAAATACATTTTTAAAATTTAAGCCGTTAAATTCAATTTAAACATCTCTAAAATTTGAGTAAAAGTAAACTAAAAAAAAGCTGTTTAAATTTGCTTAAAAAGCCAGAATTCCCGCTGCCCGCTGTTTTCATATTTTTCCCGCAATCGCACTTCAAAAAAATCCAAATCTGACGGGAAAAAAAGCGGAAATGACACCGCTGGCCAGCAGCCACAGACAATAGGCGCACCGAATGTCACAAAAAATACGGAGAAAGCCAGACAACGAACCGGAGATCACAACAGAACGCAACGCGTTGGCGAACAAATAAACTAATAAATCATTGACCTTGCGAACCTTGACAAAGCGACCGAGTGCACGGGTTAGACGCTCCACGGAAAACTGCACGGATGCCATTTGGTGACTGGACTAGGGGTACACTAAGAAAAGATTCTTAACCTCCAAAAAAAGGTTCAAAAATAATTAAAGCTTGCACTTAAACCCTAATTTTGGCTATATTAAATTGCAGATAAAATTGGATTGTTGAATAAAAAAAGAAAGGAAAATATATTTTTTCTGTGATAGTTTATAGCTGTTCTAGATAATATTGCTTGAATAAATTAAACAGGGGTCTGGTTTATAAAATTTAAATTTTGTAAATAATTTGAAAGGTAATAAATTTAGCAGAAAGGAACACTTCTAAGAAAATAATTTTAAGATATAGATTCAAATTATAAACGTTGCTGATTGCCGAAAAAAACCCATGATACAAAGTCATTTATCAATGAAAAATATGAGCGCTTAGTTAAAAAAATACGAATTCCAAAGTGATGAGTGTGTTATGGTGGTGAAATATGCTTTGGCTTATTGGGAGATAAAAAACTCATTTATTATCCCCTAAATTATGTATTTGAAAGTTGTAAAAAAACGTAATTTATTATTAAAATTATCTACAAATTAATTTTGTTTAGAGTGCATATTTAGTGATTTGCAAAAATTGTCTCCTCAAGTTCGTTCTTTCTGACATTCTCGTGTGTCTAAGAAGACTTTTATAATTTCTCTTGATGATGCATTGAGGAATTGCTGCCCACAGCGGAAACGGGAATGGAAATGTGAATGGGAACGGGCTGGAGAACAAGAATGAGAATGGGCTCATGTGAGTGCCCAGGGTACGGCTGGAAATTATGCAAAAAGCAGCGCCAAGTCACAAAAATGCCGAGTTTCGGTGCAGTCGTCGGTCGGCGTTGACAATTTTCACCTTTTCGCCTTTTGTCTTTCCACGTTTAATCAAGATTTATGGCAATTGACCGAGTGATTCCTGCCGAGATAGCGATTTCAATTGCGTGGGCGTGTGTCGAGTGTCCAGCGAGATTCTTTTGCGTAAGAAATCCGCTAATAAAACTGATGTGACGTTGCTCCCGTTCACCGTCTTCCATCCGAAGAATTCATAAATTGAATACGCGTATAATTCGAATTAACCACCGCGCCCTTTCAATCCAGAAATACCCACTGTGCATTAGCATTTAACCATTTCAGATTAGAGCCAGTTGGCTTTGATGTTGCCTGATGACCACTAAATGGGTTAGAATTGGGAGGCCCATCCGAAAAATTTAAATTCTCTGGCCCGAATGTCGGAAACAAACGTTTGGTTTGGTTTGGCCAGAACACAAAACCATGGCCAATTGCCCAGGTAAACGGTTTTCGGTTCTCCGCTTTGCTTTGGCATTCTTATTGGTTTTTTAGGGCCACAAACTTGAAATTTCACATGTCTGTGTCGGGTTCGTATTTATCATATTTTGCTTTGTTCCCACTTATACGTATATATTTGACTATATATATATATAGAACAATGGGGGGAGATGCCCCATAACGAGTGCTGAATAGTTGTTTGAAAACAGACTGAATCATCCTGACGCCGGTTGTAACAATCCGTGCAATGACCTGTGAAATTATGTGGATTATATCAACTTATCCCTTGCCCATTTTCTAGGGATTTCCCAGACTTAACTTTAAGTCCACACAGGAATAAGTGTTCCTGGAACTTCTCAACATTTTGTGGCTGAGTGAATTTAACTTTAAATGCTAGTTGCTTGGAATTATGAAGAACTCACCTGCCAGCAATCAGTATTTTATTTCACCCGCATATGACTAAGTTAGTGTTTGCTGGTTTTGATTTGCATAGCAAACCTGAAACTTGGACGGGTTTAGCAGGGCCGCAAGTTGCTGATTAGAAGACTTAGAATTTGCTAATTGGCAACCGAAGTTATGTTGCCCAGGGATTCAGTATCCAATCAATGTAAATAGTCAGAACGTGCAAATGACCTAGGGACGCACACCGAAATCGTGATTTCGCGGAGCACTGAATCAAAGTTCTGCGTTAAGCTCAAATTGGCAATTGCCGCAAGGTGTTA